AACAACATGATTGAAATACAACATAGTGTAAAATTCACCTCATAACAGCAGCCTCTGTGTACACTTAACATTAAATTTTTTCCCCTTCAAAATTCTTACTCTTGACTGAAAACATCATACAATTTTTTAAGATGTGAATCACAGCCCTAAAACTTTGCAAGTTGGAAAGGACAAAATATCCAGTGATATTTTAGTATTATTTACAAAAGTCAAATAATATTTTAATGAGCTTTGATTTTTATATTTAGATTTTTAGTTTGTTTTAGTAATTTTGTTTGTTGTCCTTGTTACAGTGTAATTATACAGTAGTACAATAGTAATATTAATTAATTTTAAAATTAAATATTGAGTAATATTAGTCAAAGGCGAGTTAAGAATGTGCTTTGGTTTATAGTTAGTTGTAATTCTGCATAATTTAGTGTTATTGTATATTAAGTACGTATATGCAAAGTGTAACAAGGACTAAAGTAGTGTTATCATTTAAAAATAATATATATATATTTATATATATTTCTACCAATAGTTTGAGATATTTAAGTACTTCATCTTAAACTTCGATTTTCTTTTAATATTTATATTTTATTTTATTTTAGTAATCAAAAACATTTTTAGTTAACAATAGTTATGCCCATTGTGATAGTATTGTACATTAATTAATGGTGTTACATTTATTAAGTGTTAGACTAGCACTGTTCCCCATGCATACTATGTACTTTTTATAGTAATTGGACACCCGATGGCGGGGTTCTAGCAGACCAATCACAGCGCTTGCGTCCGTGTAGAATTTTTGGAGAGGTGCACGTCGTCAGGGCCATAGGGTATCCGTGCCACACACAGCCTATATATATTATATTCCAGACATTAGAACAATAAAACATATTGAGAGCCAATCAGAATCCACCAGACTTGAAAGAGCTCGAGCATTTAAAGTGACAGACAACAAAACTGCTCGCACACTTAAAATAAACAGATCGTTTTGTCTGCAGGTGTGCTAATGCTAACATAGATGCTAATATAGACCTTTGACGGGTATGAAAGCGAGGCTGTGAGAGATAGATAGACTTAACGTGTTTTCAAAAGCAGTATGAAGCTCCTAGATTACTTATCATTTTCCACAGCTCATCTTATATGTTTTTTTTGTCTACTGAAATTCTTATGAAAAATATTTTGTAGTGTTTCGTCACCAGAACAATTCAAAAACACATTAAATAACAGTAACCCACTGAGGAGATGTACAGTATGTCTATCCCTCACATGCAGCCTCGCCTTCATTCCCTTTAAAAACCAAACATGGTGCTGCTGTGAATAAGGTCTATTGATAAAGTCTTCACTCTAGGTGTGAACGGGAGTGAACCTTACCATGTAACTGACCCACTAAGGAATGACCCATTCACTCGTTATTACACCTCTAGACAGCAGCTGAAACAATCTTTCTAATATGTGTGCCCAAAGAATTTCTCCAGTCAAGCGGCATCTTACCATATGATTCTGCACTGAGCGTGGAGCGGTTCTCCAGTAGCCATCAGACTGAACCCCAGGGTCAGGGCGAGAGCCAGAATCAACGTTCTTGTTTGCATGGTGAAGATTTCTCCGAGGTCTGTGCGTCCTGGCGATGAACAGACAGAGACGTGCTTGAGTTTTATAGTGGGGTCTGATCAGAACTGTCATGTGGACTCAGATGGGAAGTGGAGCCACAGCATTGATTAGCAACGGTCACGTCTCGTGAGCTCCAAAACCTGAAGTGTTTGGCCATTAAATGTGGGCCCTTCTGTCTAATTAGAGATGCCATAAATGTGTTAGTCTGTTGTAAGTCAGCTGATCTGTGTTTGACACAGACGTGCTCTGATCGAGTGTGTTTAAAGGCTGTTTAGTAATATGTGTAACTTCTGAGGGATGATATGCATTTTATTTATGCTGTACACACAAAGACAGACACAAACAGCCTTTCATATCTATAACTATTTGAAACAGTAAGATACTCATATTTCAAAAAGATTCATAAGCTTGGTGTAGACAGCAACATCAAATGTCTGAATACATTTACAGCTCATATTTGATACTGTTCAAATGTTTGTCTTGGGTAAGTTTTTATTTGTAAAAAGTTAATACTTTTATTCATCAAGGATGCATGAATTGATCTAAAGTGACATTAAAAGCATGTATAATGTAACAAAAGATTTCTATTTTAAGTTAATTCTGTTTTTTTATTTTATATTCTGTTGTAAAAAATTCTCATGGTATCTACAAACATCTAAAGTGGCACAATTGATTTCAACATGGATGATGATAATAATAATAAATGTTTATTTAGCAGAAAATTGTCATATTAGAATGATTTCTGAATGATCATGTGACACTGAAGACTGGAGTAATGATTTTTTTTTTTTTTTAAAGACTGAAACGTTTTTTGTGACCCATGACCCTGTTCAGCAATGCCGGTCCAACGGTTGTTCTTCCTTGCACCACTTTTGGTAGACCAACCACTACATACACTCTAAAAAAAATGCTTGGTTGTTTCAACCCATGTTTGGGCAGAAATGAAGAAACCCCAAACCTAATTGTTGGTTACAATTTTATTACCTTTTTAAACCCAACTGAGTGGTTAGTAATAGTATTAGTGCTATGCTAATTATTTCCCATCTTCTTCTACACCAGATTTCTGCTGTAATCTCGGGACGCTAGTTCTGTGGTAAATGGCGTTCGTCAGCTCCAGTTTGTATCTCACAGAGACTTCAGATGCCCCAACACCTACTAAACACTGATGAGACGACTAAACGCCTGTGATGTGTTATGCCCCAAATTAATAGTTTTTCTTTGTACATTTCTTAAATGCACTTTCAGTAAAGCTGCTTTGAAACGATATGTATTGTGAAAAGCGCTATACAAATAAATTTGAATTGAATTTTCTCACAGTGTCAGAAATGGATGATCTTCATCTTAAGTGTGTTTGCTGACTAGCCAATTACAATGCAACATGAAATGGCTATACAACTTAAAGCAACTTACCTCAAGCTCCATTAGCAATATTGACATGCCAAGTTGGCCTCTTTTCCCTAACTATGACCCAGTCCATTTTCTGCTCTTTCGCTTCCTCTTTTTTTCAAAGTGCGATTTATTGCTCTATTTGTTGACCATGCTGATGATGTTTTAGTCTAAATTAAAGGGACACCAGGCAGGGTGTTTTTGTCAAACAGCGACCCCTAGGGTAACTGTGGAGTACTTGTTTTTAACGTTACTGTCGTAAATACCACTCGCGGACAGCTTGACGTGTTACATTAGTATACAATAGTACATTGTGTTTAATTTGTCGTTTAATGAGATCTAATCTATGTTGTTAGTGGTGAGAATTTTCATGTGAATAAATACATATCCCAATGAACTTTAATGGTCCAGAGGAAGAACTTTTGCCATGTGTGTACCTAATCCCTACTAATTTTCCTCATCAAAACCGATTGCTGTATTTCAAGCAGGGACGTGTTTTTTGTGCATTGGGTTTTGTGATTTCACTGTAATGAGTCTCTCAAGCCACCTTTCCACTGCACACGACAAACGACCGCCGTCGGACCGGAAGTCATTCATTTCCAATGGAGAGTCGTACGGGAGCTGCGGGGAGTTCCGATCATATGATATGCGTATGCGGAAAATTTGGATCCGTTTTGAGCTTTGGATCCGTTGAAATATCTGAACTTCTGCGGCTAGACCGTATGCGACCGGCCAAAAACTATGAGTGCGAGGCTAGAATTACCAAAATTTGAATAGTTCAGATGCAAAAGCCTCTAAATGCCATTTGAAATTTTCTTCTTTAATGATGATTTTTGTCAAGCTTGTATATTTAAGTTCAATGATTTCACTTAAATGGCAATGATAATTACATATTAATTGTTATTTAAGTGAAATCACTGAACTTAAATATACAAGTTCGACAAAAATCATCATTAAAGAAGAAAATTTCAAATGGCATTTAGAGGCTTTTGCATCTGAACTCTTCATTTTAACTCTTTAATGTTTTTTCTGTAAACGCTCGCTCTGTAAAATGTTGGTTATAATTAACTACAGCAGAAAAAAATATTTTATAACTATTAAACCAATATTTATACTACTATATTTTTTATTTGAGATGAATTGAGGGTCATTTGTTTTGTGTAGATATATTCATGCATGCATTACATTTATTAAAATCATTAATTTTACCATTGTGAATATCCTAGGGTAACGGTTGCTTCACGACCAATTTCAAAGTTCCGTGCGACTGACACTAGGGGGCGAAATGCAACAATCGTATGCGAATGTCGTGTGCAGTGGAAAGGCGGCTTCAGTCCCCGCAACGGATTGAGAGCGCGTCCGTTTGAAGACAGTGCGCGTCACAACAGAACACTGAATCCACTGAAACTGATCGCAGCGGCAACGCACTTTGGTCACTTGATTTCAAAAACACACTTCGGATCGCCTCTTATTTAACAAACGAACTAAATGAATGCTCAACTAGAGTTACCTGGAGATGTTTTATTTGTTTGTAATGGTATATCCGTGCTGCGAGATGTTTCAATATCACACCAGCAAATTACGGCTATACTCGTGTCTGACTCCTCCCTCGGTCAGTCTGCTGTTTCCTCTTTCTCTGTTCCTCCGACAATGCTTTCCTAGCTTTGTGTATCTTATATGCCGGCTCAGCCATGACGATAGTGTGACAAACTCCATCCCTCTCGACCTTGTTCCTGGATATGTGCAGTGTTGCCGCAAAGGAATACGTTACATCGCGAGAGCTGATATCACGCGATACTTCCTGACGCTGAGGCCGGCGGCTCGCCGCACCGAAGTTGCAAGTTAGATTTTTCCACTCACAGGCACCAGGGGGGGTCGAGACGCCCACCATTCAACCTAAAAGCAGTCACATAACCATTTCAATAACTCTGAAGCTGTTAAATTAAGCCAAAATAACTGCATAGCATCCCTTTAACTTGCATTGTAGCCTACAATTCAATAGGTGTCATCGTCGCACAGCCTTCATAAATACCGTACCCAAGTTTATTAGATTTGTAATGATTTTATGGGATTGGCAAAGCCTAGGCATAAGACAAGTCAACGACAAAATGTGTTGTGTTGGCTAATCAGTGCAAATTCTGAATTCAGCAGTATAAAACAGTCACTGTGAGGGGGATTTTTCCACATTATCACATCTGTGATTAAAATGACAAAACTGTTTGAAATTATCTTGAGGTGAAATTCTAAAGGCATTGAAAAGCGTGGATAATCTAAATGGATGAAAGTCGAACTTGCACTGACAGAAGTGTGAGACAGATGGAAGTGAGACAATTTATTAAAAGGTTTGGATTGTCTCATATTCTGTATTGTGTGCGTCAGAGGCTAAACTCATCTCTCACAATCACCACCCTGACATCTGACACTGGAGCTCCCGTGCTGCCATGGTTTTCTCTATTTTTAGCTTTAGCCATCTGGAAAATTCACAAAGTCATGGTGTGTCGAGCACAACGTTTTCAAAATCATCCTGACATTACAACATTTCAGGTTTCAAATGAAACCTGTAATGCAGAAAAGCAGATGAAAGCTGATCGTGAGCTCATAAATTACGCGAAACCTCAACCTCAGGACATGTTCAGTCTTGTCTAAGTGATACTTCCAAGGGACATCAAATACAGACAGTGTAGTTATCAAAAGCGCACTGAAATCAAATGGAGAAAATCATTTGAAAATTCTTCCGTTTTGTACGCAAAGTAATGTGCGTTTTTATTTAAAGAAAGTCCCACCAGTCTGTCGTCTCAAAAGTTTAGGTAAGTTAACTATCCATTTGTCCAGTTTGTCTGCATATTCAAGCTCTTTCTCCTATTTTTCTGTTCAAGACTCAAATCAAAAGCAGTTCCAATGTCTCCCAGTATCAGGCACAATCCTCTTCAGTCAGCGAGGAGCTTCACTCAGACCTTGACAGAATGGCAGACATAATTCATTTTGATTCGCAGTTATTAGTGATCCTTGAAGAAACACTGAAATAGAATAAATCACACAGTATTGTGCTTTTCAGTTACACCGAGCAAAAGAGATATCTCTGAGATATCGATGGAATTTGATCTCTATGAGTACTAGAAGTTTTATAAATCCATGAAGTATTTGCTTTTGACAAATCGTTTTTTTCTCCCTGTGATGCAGAGAATGAATCCATGCTCCAGGCACATCCTCTTGAGATACAGTTATTGAGTCTTCGGTTCTGCCAACTTCTCTGGCTCCATATCCAAGTCGGTTAAGCAGCAGTAGCACATGATCTGAGCATACTTGGTGAACGAATCTGTCACAGAGAGAGAAGAAAGAGAGAGAAACACGTTAGTGGGGATATATTCACATAATAACAGTAAACATGATATGTCAGTCACATAGCCTTACTTCTTTCAGAGAATGGTTTTCATTTAAATAATATTCACACAAAAACGTATATCAATTAAGCAGAACAATGAACTTGCATGAACAATAAGTCACATGTTTGTTGTGGTGATGGCTGCTCTGGTTGTAAATCGTTTTACCACATGACTATATGAACAGTACAACACTGTAAAAGAGCTAGCATGTTTGCTTTTACTGCTGCTTTGTATTCTAGTTACCTAAACTAAACTAAGCACTTGTGTAAGATGTATTTGCAGAAAAGTATTTGTCTTTCTCTGATCTGAGCTTTTATCACAGTAAAAAAAGAAAAAAAGCTGTGCTCCACTGTGCTGCACTTTGTAGGCTTGCTTGTTAAAATCAAAATATTAAAGGAGTAGTTCACTTTTGAAAAAACTTTTGCTGCTAATTTACTCAATGTCATCCATGTCTTTCTTTCTTCAGTCAAAAAGAAATTAAGGGATTCAAGAAATTCAAGGTCCAAAAGACACTTTCAGTACAAATTGCAAGGCGAGCATTTGAGCTTATAAAACTTAAACTTTGTTATTTATTTATTAAATGAGTGATCGTTTCAGTCGTCTGGAATCGTTTAAAGCCCTTTAAACAGAATGCACTGAAAGTGTCATTTGGACCTTGAATCCTTTGGTTCCCATTGAAGTCCATTATATGGAGAAAATCCTGGAATGTTTTCATCAAAAACCTTAATTTCTTTTCGACTGAAGAAAGAATGACATGGACATCTTGGATGACATGGGGGTGAGTAAATTATCAGCAAAAGTTTTTATCAAAAGTGAACTACTCTTTAAGGAAGGTCATTTTAAAACTATCAATGAATTTAGTTTTCAAACAATTATTCGAACACATAGGAATAATTGTTTTTTGTTACCAACATGTGACGAATGTCTGCACATCCTAAGACTTACCCACGTAGTTATCCTGCTTTAAAACAGTGCTTGCTTATTGATAGCATTTTGAAATTTGTGATGACAATCAATACAACTACATGTACTCTTGACCCCATCCCAACATTTAGTCTTAAAGGGTGTCTCTAATTAGCCTGGTTCAACCAGACTCTAGTTCATTTCATTTCCACATAGAGTCTGGAACCGCTCCATTGAAAAACGTTTCCTTCCTTGTAGGCGGGTTCACTATTAAAGTTCAAATCTATTGGATCTGCCCAAAGTCACTCACGATCTGCCATAGCCAATCGCTAACGGGGTGTCGTGAGTGAAGTATGTCACGCGCCAAAATGGCTGGAAACAACTAGTCCGAATGATCAGAGGATTATGTTTACAATAGGATTTCAGTCAACGAGCGCCGCAGGTTTTGTTAATCTAGGAACAATTATTAATTCGAAATGTATATTTGACATGAAGGACAGTGATATATTCATTCAACGGTGGAAGCGGTGTCTAATCATTACAAATACGCTGCTGTGGTCGTTTTCTGATCTGCCGCAAATGCTGTAGCTTCTACAGTGAATGATCAGTCTTGTCTCTATCTGCAGATGTGTAATAAACAACTTTTCATATTACGTCTAACTGTTTCTTAATTACCTTAATTATGGTCTTCAAAGTATGTGTTTGTACATTTTTATGTGGCATTTATTTTTTTTAGTAAAACAAATCAACCATTGCCATCTAAAACTGAAAATCAAATATCTTCAAAGTATGGTTTTTCACATTTTTATTTATGACAATTATTTTTTTTTAAATCACAACCAATTTGTATGATTTACAACATGTAAAACTGACACACCAACCTCCTGCACAAGTGCACAAGGGCTCAAAATGTTCTATTCATCACAAGAATCAGTAAATTTACAGTTGGGAATATGAGCGACTGACATGACTCCTGAGCGGATCTTCAACCATAGTTTAGCAGCCAGGACTCGGGGCTTCCGAACACCGCGAACACCAGGCTAAACCATCCGTCCAAAATGTCACGGTCATCGTGCACGAGCTTCCCAGCACAAACATCCAAACTTTCTGCCTCCTTCACTTGGTCCTCAGTTGTGCAACAAGAGGTGAGACGATAACAATCCGGCTTTAAATTCTGTATATTCGGCAGTTTCTTTTCCAACAACGGACCGAATAGCTTTTCTCACGTCTTTCTCCGCTGCCATTACTGAACTCAAACTGACGCGCTTACATCAACGTCATCTTTCTCAGCCACTCCCTCTATTCGCTGATTGGTCCTACAAAAAATTGGTTTCTGGAAACCTAAGGATATGGAGCGGTCCCAGACGCAGTACTGAAGTAAAATGAAATTGAGCGGAAGTGCGTAGGAGGGCGCAGCCAGGCTAGTCTCTAATCAAGTAGTCCCCTCATTTTCATTATTGTGAACCCCTCCCTAACTAATATTTTTCCAAAAGCCCTCAAGTTTGCAGATATTACACCAGTCCTTAAAAAGCCTGGAAGTGATGAGTCTGACCTATCAAATTACAAGCCTCTTTTAAATCTTCCTTTTCTCGCTAAGGTTTTGAAACGTGTCGTTGTGGCACAACTACATTCACACTTGTAATTCAACAAGCTTTTTGAACCTTTTCAATCTGGTTTTAGAAAGAGACCCAGTAGGTTTGAGTTATGAATGACCTGCTTGTCTCAACTGAATTTGAAGCCTCTATCTTGGTGTTGTCAGACTGAATTCAGCATGTGACACGTTGTAGCCACTCCATTCTGCTCAATAAGCTTGAGAATTGGTTTGGTATCTCTGGTGTGCTTAAATGGTTAAAATTCCACTTTACTAATCATCCTTGGTTTGTTCTCTTGGGAAGCAACAAATCTTACATTGGACTGATCTGTCATGGTGTTCCACAGGGACCTGTCTCAGGTCCTTTATATGCTTCAGGGGCAAATCATTAGAAAATAATACTTAGGTTTTCCTCGAGAGATATCGTGGCTTGCAAACGAGCGAAGCATGGCAGTTGCTCAGTGTTCGGATGTACAAATGAACACAAAAGTATTTTTTAGTTCCTTCATCCGAGCCTCTGAAGAAACAATGAGTTCATTTTTTTCTCTGGAAATGCGCCGACTCAACTCCCAAAGTTTTCTTTGGTCCAAACATTTCACAGACGACTTTTTCCTCAACTCGATGAACGAGCTACCCAGCAACAATTTCTGATGTAGCCTAATTGTTCAAGTTCAGACAGGTAAGTTAATCTTTGACTCAAAATCGTTCGATACTGTTTATGCACCTGTAAGTCAAGCAAGTGACTAAAATATCAACTTCACATTGTTTCTTTTAGTAGGATGAAAATAATCTTATTTAAATTGTGAACAAATTATACAGAAAGCGATCAAAGAACAATCTTTCCACACAGCGCGAGTTTATCTGAACAACTCGTTATGAAATCAATGCGTTACACTGTACAACAAAGCTCTTACTGTATGTACATCATCGTGTTTGCATTGGTGAAAGCATTAGAGAGAGCAGAAACTGCGTTGCAATAAGATCTTCATTCTTTCGATCGACAGACTGTCCTCTGCTGCTCAATGCTCATCACAGCAACATTTTATGCAACGCATTCTCACCCCAAGGCGTCACCTTTGACCATGCTTCAATATTTGACGTTTTAGGCGCCCTTTAGCGTCACTTACATGACGCGATCTTACGGCGTCATCTAACTGATGCTAAAGGAAAGCGTCAGTTAGAGGACGCGGTTAGGTTTAGGTGTGGGGTGGGGGTAGGGTACACGCGATCCTAGGGCGTCATCTAACTGACGCTAAAGGGCGCCTAAAGCGTCAGATATTGAAGCATGTCCAAATGCTTCCCAAGGCGTCAGTTAAGTGACGCCTTGGGGGTGAGAATGGGCTGTTGTATGTGATGGGAATCTAAATACTTCAAAAACTTCTCACGATTCTGTAATATCTATAGCTGTAATAGTAAAAACCTATAATAGCTGTAGTAAAAGTATTCGAGAGAGTTTTACATGTAATATGTAGCTATTTCATATGCAAGCATGTCAGCCAATCACAGCAGTGGGCGGTTACAATGAACCCCACAGCAGACACGCCCCTTCAAACAGAGCGTTCAAAGCAGAGGCTAAAATCAGGCTAGGAAAAATGCCTTTTATTTCTAAATTATGACTATTTTTGATCTAAAAAACATACTAACATTATAAAATAATAAAATAACCCCATGTCAGGGGACCTTTAACAGTAATTTATGCATAATTACATGCAACTATACCCTGGCCTAAACCAAATCCTAATCCTAACTCTTTAAGTACATGTAGTTAAATACTATTCCACAGTACTTAACTATGTAAATAGACTGTAACAAGGATACCTTATTACTTTTTAGCCCCTCATGTGAATCAATGTGTAATATGATTATCCTCACCATTGAGTTTACTGATCCATTTTGGCCTTTTCTCTGTGGGCAAGTAGATACACAGGTAATAAACAGGCACTCCAGACAGTGCGATGGAAACTCCTATGAGGGAGTTAATGGTGTCGCTGTACAGAGGCACAATCACGAGGAACACACTGCACAGGCAGTAGACGAAGGGAAAGAACAATGAGAGCTAATGAAGAAAACAAAACAGTCAACAAACACCGAATAAGACATGGGGTTTTATTCAGACAAATAAGCAGATGTGAATGCTGGAGCGCTGTATGGATCTAGTTACCTTGACCGGTCTGTGTCTGTCAGGCTGAGTGAAGCGCAGGTAAATGAGTCCGGCCACGGACAGACCCACATACAGCCAGTAACTGAAGCTGAAGTAGTTGATGAGTTGAAACACATCCTCCACACACAGGAAGATCAGACCCATCACGCCCTACAAACACCCATAAATCCAATGCTTAACATTGCCTATTTAGCAAGACGACTGCCACATTGGTCAGCGCAACATGCACTTTCAAACATTTAACAGCAGAAAAATGATTGTTTAATTATAAAGGCATTAGAAATTGTGAAATCGACTTGTGTTGTTTCAGGGTGCAAGTGGTCAACCATTAAAAATATTTAAAGACAACATTTGCAAAGTTTTCGAAGTCACTAGGGTGAAATCACTAGACCCTCTTATTCTTGAACTCCTCTCTTGAAGCACCCATCACATAGAGATCAAAGCACTTTCCAATAGACAAAGACCTTCCCCCCCCATATATACATCCAATTCCATAAGTTCAATGGGCCATGAACACAATTTCATGTGGACTTTACCAACTGATTATAATGTAATATCATATTATCATGGACAATCTGGTCCAGATAATGTACTGAAACTTGGAGAAAAAGGCAAGAGACTCACATTAAAGAGGAGTGCAGGTACGGGAGTGTAGCGCTCAGCGTGGATCAGACTCAAGCTGATGGGAAGGTGGCCTTCTCTCGCCCCCACAAAAAACAATCTAACACAAAGGAACACAACATCTACTATGCGCATTATTATTACTTGAAAGTCATTGTTGTTTTAACTGGAACCGAAGTTTTACCTGGAGGCGGCAATGATGGAGGCATTGAGTCCTCCATAGCAAGACATGGCCACAGCAATGGGAACGATCCAGCTAACGGGACCTAGCACCTGATTCCCAAATGTCTACAGATGGGGACACAAACTAGACGGTTTAATCAAATGATGGTGTAATTAATACATTAAACCCATAAAGACTAAAGATCACATATATGAAACTCTGAAAGATCCTTACTACAGCCACTGCATCACTACCCATGAAAGATGGCATGTCCAGAACTACGTAGTAGGCGATGTTGGTCAGCAGGTAGATGATGGTCACTATTGGCATGGAGACGGCTATAGCGATGGGAAGGTTCCTATGAATAAACAAGGAGAAAGATTAAACACTTGATATACTTCAAACTAAATCGAAGAACGAACTGATGTGACGTCATTTCGAACAAAATCAGGCCGAAACGAAGTTCGTTTAGGGAGTTTGAAACAGATTGCCAAAGGGAATTTTCCTGAAATGTTTGTTCTGGCTAGTAAACACTTTCAAACTCCCATTGGTCCATGGCGATGACGTAATAGATCGGTGTGCAAAGAAGCTCCGCCTTCTTTTTTTTAATGTGAAAATATTTTCTGGCTCATTTGGCCTGTCCAGCCGGTTGTGTTTAATTTGTTAAATCTGCTTGATTTTAAGCCATCTATTGTATAAATAAACATGACGTGACTTTACTGGAGTGCCATAGAGATCGTGCAAACATCGCCACGTTGATTGCCTATGATTTTATGATTTTCTAAAATGCTTGCTGTTTTCTCAATTTTGTTTTGTTTATTTTGTCATTGAGAGGAAGGCGCACAACACATTTACATATTTATCTAACCGTTGCTCTCAGCTGGGTGGGCGGCGTCAGATGTTTGATAACAGTATATCGCTGGTCACGCATTTCGAACTTGGTTTTACCCCTAAACGAATAGCGAAAAAGAACTTCACTGTGAGTATTTTGGGGCCTTTAGGATGAATAACATTATTAGGGACAGGATGTGTTCTTTTTTTCATGTTGTAGATAGGTGTGCGAAGAAGGACGCGAGTTCAAGAGATTTTTAAGAAATCTCTTTAAACTTTCGTCTCAGGCCCAGAAGGAAGGAACGGAATAGTCGAATAAAGTCGTTATTTTTGCTGTTTTTTTTTCTCGCACAAAAGCATTCTCGTCGCTTGATAAACTTAAAGTTGAGCCACTGTAGTCACATGGAATATTTAAACATTTTCTTCGATGACTTTCTGGGCCGTCAAGTTTCAATCCCTTAGGGTGCCTATGTAGCAGTGATCCACCTCTCAAATTTAATAAAAAATATCTTCATTTGTGCTCCGAAGACGAACGAAGGTCTTACGGGGTTGGTACAGCATGGGGGTGAGTAATTAATGACTTAATTTTTAATTTTTGGGTGAACTAACCCTTTAAAACTCATCTTTGATCATCAAAATGACATATTTAAACTTTACTTCCGTGAAAAAAAAGTTCATCATGCCTTAAAACAATGTAACTCTACACCCTTGCCTCATTTAGTATACACGTTTCTATGAATATAAGAAATTAGCCCCGCCTCCACACACTCAAACCAGCTCAAAGATCCACTCGTTGAAGTGATTGGTTAAGGTAGTTTGAGACATCAGAAATGCCAGCGATTTCAAACCGTGTTTTTGAAACTGTCTTTGGTTCTCTGCAGAAAATACTCAGCAATTGCCATGAATTTGCACATGGTTCATCTTAAAGCACATTAAAAACACCAAATGGACATATAAACAACATTACAAACTTGATTTTTAGAGTAAAGTGTGCCCTTCTCAAAACCAGGACCATATGTCAACATCCAACGTTTTAGGGTACCCTTTAACGTCAGTTAGATGATGCTATCTAATCCTAACCCTACCCCAGACTTAAACCTACCCGTGTCATCTAACTGACGCTAAAGGTAAAGCGTCAGTTGGATGACGCCCTAGGATCGTCATCTAACTGACGTTAAAGGGTACCCTAAAACGTCGGATGTTGACGTATGGTCAAAAGCGTCAGTTAGATGACGTCTTGGGATGAGAATGTGTTGGCAAAAACACAATAAATAACTTATACTCTCACTGGCAACTTTATTGGGTACACCCTGTTCAACTGATGGGTAACGCAAATATCTAATCAGCCAATCAAATTGCAGCAACTCAATGCATTTAGGCGTGTAGACATCTTCTGCTGAACAACATGACGTCATGACTTTTGTGTAAACATACACGCCACTTTCGAGTAAAATGGCGTGTTATCTACACATTTTGACCGATCCACGTGTATGCGTGTATGTCTATGCCGTTAGATGTCCGAGTGATTCCGCGTGTATGTATACGCCGTTAAATGTCTGAGCGAAATGAAGCAAAATGTAGATCTACATCTGGAGAGCGATATTTTTTTTTCCTAGGATGGTAGGGGAAGACTCATAAATGGTATCAAACCCAGTGACGGGTAGGTTTAGGGACAGGGTTGGGGTAGGTCATATATTTATATATACAGTAATGTAACGTTAACGTTCATAAACGCACTGAAAAGCGATTATGCGTGTTGATAGCGCACCAAAAATGGAAATACGAATTGGCGTATTATACATACGCCATTTCATGAGATCAGTCTGTTCTGAAGATCAAACTGATCATCATAATGGGGAAGAAAGGGCATTTCAGGGACTTTGAATGTGGCAGGGTTCACTGTAAAAAATCCAACTTACATTTTGTTTGACAAATTCTGTTTTTTAAAGTTTATTCAACTATTAAACATGAAAAGGTTTGTACAACTAATGACCTAAGTTGAGAAAACTCAAAAATGTCCAGCAGGTTGCCTTAAACTTTTAAGTTTTCTCAACTTTTTTTTTTTTTTTTACAGTGTTGGTGCCAGCCGATTTAAATCTCTGAGGAATTTTTCCAGCATCTTGTTAAATCTATGCTAGGAAAAACTACGGCAGTTGTGGAGGGCAAAAGGGGCTCCAACCCAGCACTGTTAAAAGTGATCAGTTGAATTGACGTAAAAAAGGGAGGAAACTCGCTGTAAATAAATAAAGTAATTAATAATTATAAATAAATAATTAAGTAAATAAACTTAATGCGTAATTTAGAAAAAAGTTAAGTGGTATTGTTAAATTCACTTTTTTTTTTAAAGTTAAGTCAACTGATCAGTTTTTACAGTGTATCTAATAAAGTGGCTGTTGAGTGTATAGGCCTAGATGTATAGTCAGCCCATTCTCACCCCCAAGGCGTCACTTAACTGACGCCTTGGGAAGCATTTGGACATGCTTCAATATCTGACGCTTTAGGCGCCCTTTAGCGTCAGTTAGATGACGCCCTAGGATCGCGTGTACCCTACCCCCACCCCACACCTAAACCTAACCGCGTCCTCTAACTGACGCTTTCCTTTAGCGTCAGTTAGATGACGCCGTAGGATCGCGTCATGTAAGTGACGCTAAAGGGCGCCTAAAATGTCAAATATTGAAGCATGGTCAAAGGTGACGCCTTGGGGTGAGAATGCGTTGGTATAGTTAATGGATAAGAGCCAATTTTACTGTAACAACATCCAGATAAATGCATTGAATACGGAAAACATGAAAAGAGAAATTCTGACACCTCTCAGGGTTCTTGATCTCCTCAGTAACAAAGTTGAGCGTGTCCCAGCCAGAGTAGGAGAACAGAGCCGAATAAAGAGCGAGGGCGATGCTGCCCGCCTCCGTGGAGGAACCCTCAAATGGATTATCAAAGTTCCTTGTCTCTCCTGTGGTGCACACGAAGTATGAGGAACAGAAAATGAAAATTATTAAGACAGTACATGAAACACTCTGCGTCTTTAAAAAAAAAAAAAAAAAACTGATGCACTGCCATCAAATGATAGGCTGAGGTGCCTCACATGACCCAAGTTAGCTGTTATACTTTTTCCAATCATAAGAGCCAAATACACTCTTTATCTCCCAGTAATGAGACAATCTCTGATTAAGAGCTACTCTCTTGTTCATCAATTTCTCTTATTTACGGCGACACATCCACCAAAAAACATCAGTATCCCCTCAAAACGTATTTTTACCGTTAATTATCTTGATGATGCCCATTGTGATGACGAGGAGCAGAGACATGATCTTGGTGTAGGTGAAAACATCTTGAACCAAAGTTCCCCACTTTACATAAGCACAGTTTATGAAGATCAAAATACCTGAGGAAAGAGGAACACAGTAAATACATTTTGAAATCAGTTCATTGAGGATCAGAACTCTTGATATCAATGTTTTAATCAGAAGATGAATCCCAAGATATTACGTGAGAGGCCTGTTCTTTGTTTTAGTCTATATTTGTCAGAAACCACAGCAGGCACTTTCCATGAATACAGTACAGTTTGGTGTCCCAATTCTTAATGCTTTTTAAAGGTGCAATGTGTAACAAAGTTGAGTATCTATTAACAGAAATGCAATATGACATCCATAACTATGTTTTCAGTGGTGTATAAAGAACTTACTTAATTAGCCGTAATGTTTTTATTACCTTAGAATGAGACATTAATAGCTCCATAACCGCGGGAATCCCCTTCTATGAAGGTCGCCATGTTGTGACGTCATATTCCTACCGTAGCCGAACGCGAACACACAGCGCTACAGAACGCGTTTCATCACTACCTTGAAAGAGAAGTAGCGGAAAGCTGGAAGCTAGCCTTACACTCCGTGAGTAGTGACTTTTCCCTTGTGAGTGGTGTAAAATATGTAGTTGGGATTGTTTCATGTAACTTAGTTCTCCCTCGCTGTGTTATGGGTTTGTTATGTTGGGGATAGATGTGCTGTTACGTTCGTGAGACAGCTGATGATTAGTATTCATGTCATTGACCGTAAAACAGTACGTTACAGGAATCACTAACCCGTCGATAGAGACTTTTACTAAAGTCTTTTATCACTAAAGTCGATCGCGAAGATTTTTCAAAATCAGAGAAAAAAAGCCTATTGTGTGTAGTAAATAGTATCTATGGGATGCGGAGATGACATGATTGTAACAGCGCGCGCACAGTTCCGACCTTTGGACTCATGCGGACGAGTCCCAGCTCAGCCACAGTAACAGCTCATATTAGCCAGCTAAACTATTACTACCCTGTTAGAAAAAATATATAGCTGCTCCCTCGCTGTATTATGGGTTTGCTACAGTATGTGGGGATAAATGTGCTGCTGGTTACATTTGTGAGACAATCAGCTGATTATTATTTTATTAAATTATATATTAAAACCCTTGATCCTCACCTGACTATGGCTTTGTAAACAGTATTCATGATGTGGTTTATAATGGACTGTGGTACAGAAACAGTGACAATGTTACACACTTTCGGCTTACTCTGGCTATTCTCTGCTGTCTCAGCCGTCGAGATGTTTGTCCCGTTTTAGCAACCGTAGCTTCTTCGAAAGGGAGGGGTGAGCAGTGGGCTGAGCCCTTAGTGCAAACCTGGTGCAAACTCGCAACCGAACCACTAGATGTCGCTAAAAATCACACATTGCTCCTTTAAATGAGAACTATTCAGTAGGTTAGATAAAGTATTACACAACACATGATTATGAAAACAAGTCGACCCAAACAAATCAAATCAATTGTTGATTTTGGCCTGTCCCACCTCAGGGTCTTGACATAATTTCATAATTTTGAAAATCATATAATTGATTATTCAACCTTAATTTTATTGTGATAAAAAAAAAAAAAAAAAAACATTACCAAAAATGTTGTTTAGCTTTGTCACACATTTCACGTGTAACCCTGTTACACAGTAGCATGATTTTATTATAGTTTTATTAATATTTAGAATTAGCTTATAGTTTTATATTTTTACTTTCATGTTTCATTTTTAGTAATTCCCCTATGTTTTATTTAACATTTCTATTTAGGTTTAATTTATTTTAATATCAGTTTTATTTATTTTCAGTTAATAATTTTAGTTCTTCAACTAAACTGAACTTAAATTAATTGAACTACACTAAATTATTACCAAAGCAGAATTTACAATGAAGTTTCCAACTACTAATACTACTACTAATAATAATAATTTCAGTTTAATGAAATTTAAGTTGAAATGACTTAAACATCCAAGTTGATTGTACTTTCAATTCAAGGTAGCAACTTTTTGTATATAAAGTAACTTAAAATCAGCTCCACCCTTTTATATTGTATTCTGCAGGTTCAGTAATAATCAAACATTTGCCCAAAAACAAACAAATGGCTTTGTGTTTGTAGATGTTTTTCTTTTTCTTTCTGTACCCTGTTCTTGGAAAGTGCCAGGTCTGATCTCAGCTAGCTCATGAATTGTGTGTTGTTACAGTCTGTCCTCAAGCATGGAGTGGATCATGTCCCTGCTTTCTGAGAACATATTTAGCTCTGACTGGAAACTGTGTGAAGGCAACAGCTGCTAAGAAGGAAAGAGAAAGAAAAACATCTCTTGTGTGTCGTGTTTTAAAGCAGCGAACATTGTGCAAAACCGACAAGAGTGCCATTCATAATAATAATAAATAATAAATTAGCTTGGAATACAAAAACCAAAATCATGGATGTTAAATTACGCAATACCTTAATATGTGTTGTTGCAGATCATCTTAAATGTGTTTATTATCTTTATATTTATCATTATCTTCATAATCTTTCATTTACTTCAATGGCTTGACTCACTTCTGAAACAACTTTCCTTTTCTGGTGAAGTCATCTAGGCTATGGGTTAATACAGTCTTGTTGGTTCATTCTGGCATAGAACGACTGGGATATTTTTCACATCACATAGGGTAGTGAGTCCATAGGAAGCCATGCAGTGGCTTATGAATACTCTTTCATGTTGACTAAAGGATACTAACAAGGAAGGACTGAGAAGGACATGCTATATGTGTCTTGGGGAAATTCAGCAAAGTGAAGAAAGAAAGGGGTTTGTGAGTTGTGAAAGTGAAAGACAGCAGAAGGGAAAAATATTCTCATACACTGATAAAAACTCCTTCCTTAAAGGTGCAGTAAGTGATTTTTGAGAATCATTGTTGAACACTGTTGATATTTCCCATGGAATTAGGCTGCTTTTACACTGTTGCCTTTGAAAATTCTCAGAAATCACTTAATAACACCACTAATGCTTGAACAATAATATAGCGTGTTATTTTGATTTCATCAAGTGCAACATATTCCTGGATCAACATCTTTGTTCATCCTGGAACAACATTCAAATCAATAAATTCGATTTGAGGGACAAGTTTACAGTTTATGTCAAGTTTAGACTTACAACCAGGGTTAAAGGGTTATTACACCCAAAAATGAAAATTCTGTCAGCATTTACTCACCCTCATGTTGTTCCAACCCCGTAAGACCTTCGTTCATCTTCGGAACACAAATCAAGATATTTAAGATATTAAGATCGCTCCTGCATACTATTCCATAGGCTTCTTGAGGGAATGTCTTGCTGTCCCCGAAAAGTCATTAAAGACATCGTTAAAATAGTCCAAGTGACTACAGGGGCTCAATCTTAAGTTTATCAAACGACGAGAACACTTTTGTGCGCAAAAAAACAACAAAAATAACGACTTTATTTCAACTATTCGTTTATTTCTCCCTCTGCGCGACTCAGGTTACTAGTTTAATGGCGTAAGCTTCTGTTATTGTACATAACGTCACACGCATCACACACATGACCAGCGTCGGCCAATAGTGAGTCTACGTGTGACGTAGCTTTACGCAATCACACTACGTTAACTGACTAGAGGCCCATAGAGAAGGAAGTGAATAGTTGAAATAAAGTCGTTATTTTTGTTTGTTTTTGCGTACAAAAAGTATTCTCGTCGTTTGATAAAGTTAAAATTGAGCCACTGTAGTCACTTGGACTATTTTAACGATGTCTTTAATGACTTGTCGATGCCAGCAAGAGTCATTCCCTCAAGAAGCGTATGGACTAGTATGCAGGAGCGATTTTAATATCTTAAATATCTTAATTTGTGTTGCGAAGAAGAACGAAGGTCTTACGGGGTTGGAACAACATGAGGGTGAGTAAATACTGACAGAATTTTCATTTTTGGGTGAACTAACCCTTTAAAGGAGAACTCCAGCACAAAATGAACCTTTGGTCAAGTCGAACCACGAACGTCGTTCATACAGTTCAGCTCACTCGGCACGTCGTTCGTGGTTCGACTTGTCGAGACTGTTTTCCAAAGATGTCTGCTGCCTGAAAACACGAAGTGAACTGTCTTTCTAAAATATCTTCTTATTAAACGATCTGTACTCTTACAAAGTTTTCAATGTTTCGTTTTGCACATATGAAGCCTCATTATGTTACTGTGTTAGTGTGCGGCTATTTTGAGCCTTGTTAGTGGTATTAACTAGCGATTTCTCTTTACTTATTACATGCCCCCATATACTAGCATTATACGTTAAACAGTTTTTAGAGATAAAACTCTTTACATTCGATTATCATGAAAACAAATTTCAGAGAGCAGTCGACTAGGTACCAATGTGTAATTAGACCAAAGGTTCATTTTGCGCCAGAGTTCTCCTTTAAGTGCTTCTACATCAGTAATTTCCCTCAGATTTTAGGGATAAAAGGTAGGGATTGGGTTAGGACTACATTTTCGGACAGGCATGATGTTCCCGGATCAAAAAATATGTCAATCCAGGAACATGTCTTGGCAAAATTGCAGTGACCCAATAAATAAATAAATAGCATGTTATTGTGATCTCTTGTCTCAACTAAAGGGGAAGTTCTGTCATCATTTACTCATCATCATGTCGGTCTAAACCTGTTTGACATATTTTCATCTGTGGAACATAATAGAAGATGTTTTAAAGAAAGCTATAGGAACCAAACAGCCCATTCTCACCCCCAAGGCATCACTTAACTGACGCCTTGGGAAGCATTTGGACATGCTTCAATATCTGACGCTTTAGGCGCCCTTTAGCGTCAGTTAGATGACGCCCTAGGATCGCGTGTACCCTACCCCCACCCCACACCTAAACCTAACCGCGTCCTCTAACTGACGCTTTCCTTTAGCGTCAGTTAGATGACGCCGTAGGATCGCGTCATGTAAGTGACGCTAAAGGGCGCCTAAAACGTCAAATATTGAAGCATGGTCAAAGGTGACGCCTTGGGGTGAGAATGCGTTGTAACCAAAACAACACTCATTGTCTTCCTTGTATTGACAAAACAACACAGAGACATTTCTCAAATATCTTCTTTTGTGTTTCATAGAAGATATGTCACCTAAGTTTGGAATGACATGAGGATGAGTAAATGATGACAGATTTGGGTGAACTATCGCTTATTCAAAAGAGCTTATTAAAGAGTTTACGCTATGCTAAGCAAAAACACAAAGAAAGAGAAGTTTCAATTGAAAAACAATTAACATTTAAAAGACAAATAATGTTTCATGTGTCTCAAAAATACACCATAAAGGGATTTTATGTCAATTCTCATCAGGAACTGAATCGGGTACACACGGAAAGGTCACAGGATCTCTCTCAACAAGAGGCTAACTGGAATCAAAAGACATGTTGTTTCAGAGGTGAAGCAAGCCATTACATTTCAATTACAGATTACAAAAACAATATATTTCTTTGGAAAAAACGGAAATGATAAGACCAGGAATGGTTACATAAGCAAACAAGACTTGACTGAGAGCAATGGCAATGAGGACTCACAGAGACAAGCCGCTGCTATGAGTCTCACAGCGTCGTATGGAGGCTGACAGGTGGGGTAGAACGCTTCCACCAGGTAATTGGCAAACGTCAGCGAGATGATAGCCTGACTGGCTGGCTCCACCAGCAGGATTGACGTCCACAGGCGGATGAAAGCAAGGAAACCCCCAAAGGCCTCCAGGATGTACGCGTAACTAGCGCCAGACTTCGTAATAGTGGTTCCAAGTTCTGCGTAACACAGCGCGCCAAACACGGAAAATACGCCACCGAGAGTCCAGATGACCAGCGAAAGGCCATAGGAAGCGCTATACATCAACACACCCTTGGGCGACACGAAAATGCCAGAGCCTATCATGTTGCCCACAATTAAGCAGATGCCATTGGTGAGAGAGATCTCTCTCCTCATGATCATCTTGTCCTCCTGTAGGTCTGGACCATTGCTGGCTCCAGCAGGTTTTTTCTGGTCCAGGTCTCCCCGAGACCCCGGACACAGTTCCATCAGTTTCTTCATGCTGGAGGAAACAAAGGTCAACAGGCATCACAGCCGTAATCACTAGTAAAACACAATGATGATAATGGTTTTATTTGGATTTAGCATCCCAGTCTTGTTTTTGACTGACTAGCAATTGGACTTGGAAGCGAGCAAACTACAGTTTGTCTACATATCTGTATAGGCATATCTATATAAAGTGTCAGCTATATCCATAACATATTAAATAATACAACATTCAAAATATTCAGGTGACACTTCACAGAAAGGTCCTATTAGTTGACGTTAGCATTAGCAATTAGCAATACATTTGTCATGGTATTTATTTATCTTTTTTAATGCTAGTTAATAAAAATACTGGTAACACTGTACAATAAGGTTAAAGTTGAAATTAGCAAAGATTAAAGTATTTTTCACCAAGTATTCTCATTAACAAACTCGTTAACAAAGATAAAAAAAGTGTTTCCGCTGTATTTAATGCTGTCATAAGCATTCAGCATTAGAAATTAGTTTGTAAGACAGTTTAGTCAAAAACAGCTTCAAGTTATTTTCATTTTGTTAATAGTTTGTTCAAATGAGCCAATACTGCTACTACTACTACTACTACTACTAAAGAAATGATGTCAGACTTAAATATTTCACAGGCAATCCCCTTACTAACCCTTGGTTAACAAAACAACAAAACAGTCACTTAGTTCAGGGTCCTATTTAACATTTTTAATGTAGTGCCAAAAACAAACTGGAGTACTTTACCTTTAATCATGTTAGAAGGAATGCTGTGGGGGAAAACAACCATCCAATCATACAATTGGATTGTGAAGAGGAAGAGCGTACAGATGAGTTATGCAAGTTTCCAGAGTGGTGGTGATCCTGGTCAGAATGAAGAAAACTAGACTATCAGGGTCAACAGGATAAGTGCTGTCGCAATCCCAGACCGCAGAGAGAGACCATGATGTATTTTTCCACCGGAGGCAAGATGGGTTCTTGAGTTGCCCTGGCTATTTTAGGAGGTTTGTACTGAGCGAGAGAGAGAGAAAGAGAGAGAGAGAGAGAATGCCAGTCCCCTCCTGTTGATTGTAAAAGTAGCTCAGCAAAACCCAGTTGAACTAAAGAAAGTCTTTGTTATCGGATCGGTTTCAGCTCTGCCTCTAGAATTCAGTTTAAGGACAGACTGCTTCCCCTTGGGAGGTGTTTGATAAGGCAAGCAGCACTATTACTATTGCACATTACAAAACCTCTGACTGGGTATTGAGTATTACGTATTAATCTTGCGCAACAACACCTCAACTTGTGGACCTATATTCAGATGGATTTATCACCTCATGATTAGGAGTTCTCAGAAGAGGACTTCTTCAAACTGGTTCACAAAGCTGCTAAGAAATGTTTTACTTAAGAAAAATGGGGACATCATAAGGTGAAATGTGAGAGGTGGAGGCAGAGCCCCAGTTGACCACTAATTCAGCGAACACACTTTTTGGATCCCTATTCTACTCTACAAATGAAGCGTTGTGGAGGGTTCATGTACCAAACCGAAGTGATAAAATAAAATCAAATTCTGTATCAAAATGTAAAGGCAAGACAAGTAGTTTAACCAAACTAATCTCTGTTGTAAAACCAAACGCTGTAAAACCAAACTAATCTCTGTTACCTTAAATTAGACTAAGTTCTGTAATGCTGCTTTGAAACAAGCTACAATGTTAAAAGTGCTATATAAATGAAAATTACTTGATTTTTTTCCCACAAAAACTGATTGGTTGACAAAGAACCACTATTTGTCACCAGATTCACACACAACGAGAAGTGCAGGCCTATAGACACCACTGTTTAGGGTCAGTAAGATTTTGTAAGGATGCATTAAATCGATCGAAAAGACTGTAAATATAGAAATTGATAGACACTTCGGTAACACTTTATTTGAAGGGGTGTGCATAAGACTGACATGACACTGTCATGAACATGACATAACACCTGTCATGAACATGAAGGAGTCTTTATGAATGTTTATGACTGTTGTCATTAAGTGTCATTCGGTAAATTATGACACTTTTAATGCAGAGTTGACATTGTTTAAAATGATCAGATCTCTGTGCCTACATGGGGCAACTGATTTTGGCCAGCGTCTACAGATCCAGAGGGGAGTCCACATGTTGCCTGTGGGATGATCGCAGTGGTCGTGCGATTTTCAGAGCCACCATGTCCCTCTCAAGATTCCCCCAGTCCATCTAAATCCAGGATCCTCTGAATCCTCCTCGCCTTCAGTGGAAGCTTGAGATGATGATGAGGGTGCCACATCCAAACCAGGACCTGACTCTCCTGAGTCTGCGGTCAGAGTGAGAAGACAATACCTCCTGCAGCTCACTGGAGGGGTCAGACTGCATAATCATCTCTAAAACTTCACTACAAGTCAAGCCCTCTCTCATGTTGCTTGCTGCTCTTCTCACCATCAAATGACAAGCGTTTATATCCACTTGCTTTGTTTTTGTTTAGTCTGCATTTCTCACCATCAAAAGGCAGCAGATGCATAAATGCACTTACTTTGTTTTTGTTTACTCCATGTAGTTTTGAGAGCTGAAGTGTATATTTTTATTTTCTCAGACGCATCAAGGTGAGTTCTCACACTCTCTCACTCACACACACACACACTCACATATACACACTGTAATATGCTATTATACTCCATATAACTCCATGTAAAAGCCAGAAACTAAGCTTTTTTTTTTGCACAGGCCTGTCTAAAGGGTTAATGGTTCCACCTGGTTATCAACAGTAAAAATGACAAATTTTACCTCTTCCCAACAGGGAAAACCATCAACAATCAAAAATGCATGATTTTATGGTGTCATGGCTTTGCAATCAAAAAATGTGGTTATAATGGAAGTCAATGGGGCAAAAACAGCCACGAACAGTAAATGAGGGAGAAAAAGTTAAAATCTGATGCTACAAAAAAACTAACAATGCATCAAAACCAATGTTGTTTCTAATCTTTGACATGTCTAAGACTGTGATAAAAGGTAAAAAAAAATCCAGTCCACAATCATATTTTATATTGAAAATAAGTCATTTTGTGTGTTTTTTTTTTTCCCAAATCAGTGACATCATTTATGAATTTGGCAATTAAAGAGTTAAAATCCTGAATTTTTTTTAAACATTTAGTAGTTTTAATCAGGACTGAGGTCGGTTAACAGATTTATGCAAACAAATTTGAAAAAAATATTTATCTGATACATTTTTACTGCAGTTTAAAGTAGTGGCTTTTTTCAGCCACGAACATAAAGAAAGGGTAGTGAATTTGAACAATGCACAAGGGTTAAAGATTATAAAAATGAAATCTTTAAAATCAAAGTTATAAAAATAATAAAATGTTTGAAAGTATTTTATTTCCCCCAAAAAAGACAGCAATACAGGGTTAATTGATTCACTAAACGATAATTCGAATAATAAATGTGTTTGCCAGGAGTTTTTCCGATTTGCAGTAGCTAAAATACTAAACATGTTAAAACATGAAAAATAATTATGCAATGTAATTAGGGATCATGCAATCTGTTTATTGGCAAGAGTAATCTGGTTATGAGCATTTTAAACTGTAATCCAATTACAAGTATATAAATATATATCGTACACAAGCACTTCTCTCCTTGGGCTCGTACCTGCATCTGCATTATTTAAAAGGGTCATGAACTGGCTTTTTAAATTTTATTATATTGTTGTCTGAGGTCAACTTATGACGTTCACTTGGTTTTTGCATTCAAAAACATCAAAATGAATAAGTAATAGGCTATTTTGTACCCTAGTTTTGAGCCTACCTGAAAAACACTCGGTTTTTATTGGCGTCTCGCACTGAAAACTTGGAAGTAAACGCCCACAGCTGTGAGTGGATAACAGTTTTGCATATTATAATGAGTTTCAACTCACCTGTCGATGCACTTGGGGGAAATTGTTTTGAAAACATCCAATGTTGTAAAATGGCAACCGGAATGATTCGCCCCTACATGTTCGACCCAGAATCCATGTGTTGCACAATTCCTGTCAGATCCAATATAGACGGCACAGCACCGTTCTTTACTCTTAATCGTCTGCAAATCCAGTCTTGTTTACAAAACAATCCTCAGTGAAATGAAGCGAACAGACGGACAAAGTTTTACCTCATCAGCTGGAATGTCAATAAAAATAAAGTTTATCCATGCAGTCCTATTGGAATCCAAAGGAAGCTTATGCAGCGACTGTCTTCTTCCACAACCAGGCACTGCACAATATTCTGTATTGCTCGGTAACTGGATCTGGATCGGTTTGTCATCACGAGATAGGTATCTATGTTATTTAGCTATGCGTGTAATGCACAAATCAGTGGGCGGGGCTAAACCGGCCGTGTTGAAGTAGGCGTCGATCTTTTTCAACGGGGGTGGTGTTTTATCCTCTTTGACGTCATAGTTCCCCACTTTTAAAAACGCCTGCTGTCAATAAAAGCTGTTATTGGACTAACAAGGCAGTTTTCAGTTCTGAAACTTACAGGATATTCTTATAATATGATGATCTCTTAGATGTCAAAAGCTCAAGGAAAATTTGATTTCTCAGTTCATCACCCCTTTCATCTTTATACTGTTTTCTAGGTTGGTATGGTGGTAGGTACACAGTTTTTTATGATATCTGGGGTTATATATTCACAAAGTAGAAAATAAATTGTGAACCTGTGAAATTTAGGAGCCTACCAACTCTTCCAAAATGACTGAGATTCACTCCTTATTCTAGGACTCTTACATAGTATATTGTTTAAGAGTTCATGGAGCATTTCAAAGCTAAAAGTAAATCCTAAACCAATGGCTTAGTAATCATCCTGAGAACTCCTAAAGCCAATAAAGTGGGAGTATTACCTTTCATCCAGTGTGTACTGTGTAATATAGCGGTCTGTAGTCCCAGCTACTGTGTTCACACAGTTCTGGCATAGAGGGGTTTCAGAAACACAAACAAGAAAACCCAAACATTCAGGAAATTTAACATTTTTTTTAATAACACTTTCAAATTTCCCATTTTTATGGAAGTTCCTCATATAGTACTAGAGCACAGATGTATGCTACATGTACACTGCTACATACACCTATACATTGTCATTCTATATTTGATGACAAGACATTTAGGTTAAGTGTCTCCGAGGCAAAAACGAACATTGAGATATCAGTAATATTCATTTCAAATAAATCCCTAGCCTGTGTGGTTTAAATAACAACTGTAACTGTAACATGAATGAAATTGCAACATTTTCTATATCCAAAACAGGCCATTAGGCAATACAGTATTTGGCTGATATATTGCTAAGATGTGTGCTGAAGTGTATTAAGCATAATCTAAAGATGCATTCAGCCTCATAGCATCACTGGATTGGCACAGCACTTAGAAGAAAGTCATATTTTCAAAACTATATAAAAAGAAAACAACAACCCATTACAAACGACGTAAAACATCACTAAAGATTAGTGATGACTGTAATAAATAATATACAAACCAATAGCAGGACATACATACTCTTCATATAGTAAATGGTCCCAAACCCTGGATTTATCCACATAAAAATCAAACGATAACTAAAAAACTGATTCTTGCATTGAAAAGGAGTCAATAACATCAAACACCAACTTCTCAAGACTGGTTTCACACACATTTCTAATTAGTCCTTATCCGACACCCACCGAAATCAAAACTAGTTTGATTTAGAGAAGGAAACATGAAAAAAACAACCAATTTCAGGACATTCCAGGGACAAGCGATGTAATCAATCTAGTGAAAACACATCACCTCTGCGACGACAAGGCCTCCAAACCAATGTATATTTGCACAGTGGGGAAGTTACAGCGTGGACACATCCAAAACCCAACAACGAAGGGATTCAAAGACTTAAAACAAAACTAAAAAAAAAGAGAGAACAGTGGAATAGCAAAACATTTATAAAATGCTTCATGTTTCATCAAGCTCATGAGTCACACACACAAAAAAAGTCAATGATCAAAGCATTACCACAAATTTGATTCAGTATCAAGTATTTCTCTGTGTTCTGCTTGAAGAGCCCATATTTACAGTGCTAACTCTTGGCATTCCCTTTGGTTTAGTTTCTAAACAATTTATTACACTGCATCTGAAGCATATTCATTTTGGAAATCAAATTTTCAAAAGAAACTGCTGATCTAAACTGGCAATGTTTGTATAAACAGTCACTTGATATTTGTTTCTTGAAAAAGCATCTTGCCAGTAGCTTTTCTCCAAAAATCTATCCAGCTGTGATGTAAGCATCAGTATATTTAACACAGTTACTTCATAAGCCCGTTTTATCTACTGAAAAAGCTGTAAAAGGCCCTATGTCTGCTGCTACATCTGGTGTCAAGGGTAACCACAGCAAACTAGGCTACATACTGTAGATGGCACAATATTTACTGAGAAGTAACTAATCCAAGACGCATATGGTTCGATATGCAACTATTGACTGTTTAATATACGGTAGAGTTAATGTTCTTGACTCGCATGCCATTTGAGAAGAAGGAAAACGTAACGGAGAAGACGTTGACTTCGTCAAGTTTGTATGAACTCTATTATAGACTCTACCGTATCGCCTTATTCTGCCAGGGTTGCTTTGTCTTCATTGTATGTGCGGTCTAATATTGCTTGTGAACAGGATGCTACAGGACTCACTATAGAAAAGTAAAGGCAATAAAAGAACAACACCTGATTGGATTAATAAAATAAAAAAAAAGAGTCTGGTAAGGGTCTGTTATTGGCATTTTGGCAAAAAAAAAAAAAAAAAATCTACAATGTTTTTAAAAAACCACAAAATCTTGTTGGCACCCTGTATTATTTCAAAAGGCATAGTTCAGTCCAAAGTGAAAATTCGGTTATCTATTACTCACCTCATTTAGTTCCAAACGGTGTGACTTTTCTTCTTCTAAAAGAAGATATATTAAAGAATCTCTGTTTTTTTGTCCATACAATGAATTTCAATGGGGTTCAATGTGGTTTTGACCCATTTGACATTACTCAAAAAAGAAAGTCAGTCATACCTCTTTGGAATGACATGAGATTTTAGTTTTGAAAAAACAGATCTTTAATTTTTAGGTAAACTATCCCTTTAAGGCCAAACCATTAAACCATTGGTGTGCGAATTGATTTTACTTTGTGTAGACTTCACATTTAATGCGATGAAAATAAAAAAAGCCATGATCAAACTCAACTTAATCTGAAGAAAAAAGTTGTTTTCTTAAGAATTCTTAAGACTCGTTTATTTTTTACAATCTATAACCCATTGAACACACAGCAGCCTCAACCCTGTGATATTGCACCAACCCTGACTAAAGTCTAGATCTGCAAAACATCCACCACATGGCAGACTAACAAAGGCTGACAAAGCATTAAACGCATAGTGAAACAGCCATCAGACCTGACTTTAAGAGCCACCATGAGAACAACAAGCACTGGTTTACCAAACGGAAGACCGAAACTGCTGATTCACGTTTTTTTTTTATCAAGTCCGGACGTGTAACTGTGCAGTAATGTGGACGAAACATCACATAACAGGAGGGTGCGTCTTTCTCTACAACTTCATTCAGTCTTCTATTTTACTCAATTTGCTGGCGTGGAAGGTGCAAATGACAACATAGGATCGATTGCTTGGATGTTTCTCTGCTTTCTCTTTTTGGTTGGGAAAAAAGTTTAAATGTGACATTTTGAAACCACTGTACTGCTTAGGTTCACGTCTCTTTCATCAATAACTTATAGGCATTGAGTCAGTGAATCAATAACCACTATGTAAAAAGTCAATATGAGCCAAATAATTATTTGACCAATCGATCAAGTCGGTCTTGTTTGACGCGTGTAAAACGACTGTTCAAGCTGATACCAAACAAAGTGCGTCATAGGTACCAACACCTTAACCAGCGAGGCAAAAGCACTTGTCCAGGCACACAAAGTATCGGCCAAGCAGCACAAAAAAATGCAAGAGCGTGTGAACAGGAACCATCCTTAACTGTAAGGAGGACTCACAGAGCTCCGGTTCAAGACCAGTGATCGGGGAGCCGTTCAGAAGTTTTGTGTGTTGAAGGAGTTTGTGGTGTAGGTGGCGGTATACGGTGGAGGAGGAGGACTGGTGGTGCTGAGTTCAGGGAAGGGCTTCAGGCCCATCTGTTTATTGTCCTGGAGCTTCTTCACCACCACACGGCAGAACTCCTCACTGTGCCGCTCGCACGTGTCCAGAAGCTTCCGCACTTTGGCCGTACGTGTGGCTTGGTTCACGACCAGTTCGTAGTCCTCGCGCATCAGCAGCTCACGAGACAACAGAGCGTCTAAACTCTGATTGAGACACGCCTCCGTCATCTGCCGCACAACCTCCTCCCTTCGAGCAGCGATCCAGCGAGCCGCCGGTCCTTGAACGTCCAATGCTATGGCAAAATCTGCAAAGACAAGTCAGGAGGCGGACATTAAGTTCTGAATCAAGGGATGTCAAAAGTACTGGTACTCTGCACTAGGGCTGGGCGATAAGTACAAAATATTCTTTCAGTAATCGCCTTTAAAAATGTTGCAATATCTGATATATCAGGGATTGAAAGTGAAGTGGTTTGTTCTGAGTAAACAATAAGCTATTTTTCATTTCGGCTCCAGATGTCTCATTTCAAAACGTTACTGGGGAGAACGAAACGAAATAACACTTCTGCTTGCTTTTAGGGACGGCGAAAACTAAAAATCTTCTTGACCGACCACCGAGCCTCATTAGCCAGTTGAAACCGGTTAACCGATTGGTTTAAAATATGCTACGCTATTTGAAATAAGAGCCATTTTGAGCTGCGCCTGCAATTTTACAACTACTATGTTGCATCTCTCTGCCGTTCTGCCTCCCACTCACACACAAACACACTGCCCCGGCGCCGCCCTTCCACTCATGTCATTTTTTTTTTAATCCCCATACAACGCGAAACATGAGTCCCGCAAACGCGGCGCCAAGTAATCAGAGGACAAATGGCTCCTTTTTAGTTTTTGAAATAGTTTGGGTACAAGGTGATCGCGTTGAAAATAAAGGCGTTAGTCTAGCGTTACAAGCTCATTTGAAACATTGTCGTGGCTCATTTAAAGGGTTAGTTCACCCAAAAATCAAAATTAAGACATTAATTACTACAGTGGCTCAACTATAAGTTTATCAAGCGACGAGAATACTTTTTGTGCGAAAAAAACAAACAAAAATAACGAGTTTATTCGACTATTCCTTTTCTTCCTTGTTGGCCTGAAACGAGACTTCCTTAGATTTCCACGACGCATGCGTGAGAATTGCGATCTCCTTTAGCTACTTCAGTTCAATTCTCGCGCATGCGTCGTGGAAATCTCTTGAAGTCTCGTTTCAGGCCAACAAGGAAGAAAAGGAATAGTCGAATAAAGTCGTTATTTTTGTTTGTTTTTTTTCGCACAAAAAGTATTCTCGTCGCTTGATAAACTTATAGTTGAGCCACTGTAGTCACATGGAATATTTAAACATTTTCTTCATTGACTTTCTGGGCCGTCAAGAGGCAGTCCCTTAGGAGCCAATGTGGTAGTGATCCACCTCTCAAATTTAATCAAAAATATCTTCATTTGTGTTCCGAAGACGAACGAAGGTCTTACGGGGTTGGTACAGCATGGGGGTGAGTAATTAATGACTTAATTTTCATTTTTGGGTGAACTAACCCTTTAAGGAAATGACAGCTCTGAAGAGACACCGCTTTGAGGTAACGTTAACGTTAGTGCTAACATCATCACCTTATCTGTTACCACTGAAATGTAGATGTAATATATTTCCAAATTTAAGCCCAGCAACTTACATCTGTGACATTCTTTTAGGTGAAATGGTCCCACACACTATTTTATTTGCACGCTTCGTCCTGTCGTCTGCCCTGGCTCTAACCTCGAGTGTTTTAGCCTGAAGCCTTTACTTTTCCCAAATCTTGTTAGCGTGCAAACCCAAACGCTGTGACCTCACGCCAAATGTTTTTATTTTTATTTTTTTACAGACTACCGACAACTTCGATCGGTTAACGTTGATACGGTCAACCATCGTTCAAACAGTCATCGGTTAACATCCCTAATTACTTTATTTGGAAAAAGAAGAAATTAAAATTTTTTTGGTGAACTAACCCTGACTGACTAACCGTGTCATATCACCTCGGAAGCAAGTTGAACTACACTCTCAGAAAAAAAGGGTACAAGAGTTCTCACTGGAACAGTAGTACCCTTTAAAAAGGTTGTGATATGTACTATTTAGATACTATGTACACTTCAGTACCAATGCGTACCTTTAAGGTACTAATATGAACTCTTTAGGTAAAAAGGTGTAACTTTTGGGGTGACCGCTTTTATACATTGTCAGAGAGTGCAGCAACTTTAAAAAAGAAACTGCAGATGCCTTGGACCTGTTTAGGGTGTGGCTAACAGGTGTAGATACCTTGTGGGTATGTCTGCAGAGTGAGGGGTTGAATGACAAGAGCCAGATCACTTTCACTTTGAGGCGCATGTGGTTTGAAAGGTATGTTGAGGTCGGACACTGGCGGTGCCGTCGGGTTTTCAGCACCGAGGTTGTTTCGAGAGCAGTGGTCCATAAGAGGTTTTGGAGGATCAAGTGGAAGGGACATTAACGATGACTGCGGACCAGCTTGAGCACTTGACACACCTGATGATGATATAAAACAGCTACAATAAACAAACCAATAAAAAAAAAAAAATACAAAAAGCAGAATATTAAGAGCATCAACCCCAATGTTTTGTCATCATTTACTCATCAGATTTTTTCACACTGTGCTTAACCCAGGGTTGTCATTCTAAACAACACTTATAATTAAGAAGCAGGGTTAGCACTTTTATCCGGGACTATAGCACCACTTTTGCATTGCTTCTTCATTCTTAACTTTATAGTCCGAAAAATCTATTCAGGAGAAAATTTCTTATAATAGTATAAGGATGTGCAACGCTATGTAAACAGGTCGCATTGCTGCATTTTTCCAATCAATGACATTGACGAAGCAAACAAGCAAATAATAATGTTAACCAAGGATTTAGGAATATAGGGAAATTAGAGCTTTTAGGGTATAAAACTTTCGTTTATCTTCAGAACACAAATGAAGATCTTTTTAATGAAATCTCAGAGCTTTTGGTCTCTCCAATGACAGCTATGCAACTACCACTTTGACACTTCAAATACTTTATAAAGAAGTACTGAAAATACTAATCCAATACTAATCAAATCCATATGAATTGATGGGTTCAATTCAATCTGTTCATATATAAAGTGATTGAGTCTCTTCAGAAACTTTGGACTAAACTGCTAAAGTTGATCTCGTTATGAACTTTTTGAAGAGTCAAACTTTCAGTTGCGTAGCTGTCAACAGAGGGACAGAAATCTCTCAGATTTCATCAAAAAGATCTTTGTTTGTGCTCCGAAGACGAATGAAAGTTTGAACTGAAGGTTTGGAACGACATGATGGCGAGTAATTAGTGACAGAATTAAAACTATGCTTTTAAGAATAGTCAGGAATAATTGTTAACCCAGGTTGAGTACGATTAATTTGAAACGTGAAGCAAGATAACCCAGGATTCCATTAACCGTAGTTTAAAATGATCCAGGGTTAACCATTTCAAGTGTGAAAAGCCCTATTGTGAGTTTCTCATTAAGCAATTCCAGCAATTTTGTATCCCATGGAAGAAATTAAGTCATCCAAGTGGGGAACAGCATGAAGGTGAGAAAATGACGGCAGACTATCACTTCTATAATTATCCCTTTTAAGAAGAAATGAGTCCTGCCTTGAGAGGGATTTGATATGGTAAGGAAGCCTGGATGTGACATTTCTGCTTCCTGGGAAGAGCAAGAGCAAGAGCCGGATCCTGATCCAGATGTGGAACTGTTGTCCTGTCAAATAACATGAAGAAAATTAAGAAAATCTTTAGACTGTTCTCATCTTTGTTTAAATTCTGAATCAACAACATAGTATATATATATATATATATATATAAACACACAGAACAAAATTCTGAATGCAACACTTTTCTTTTTGCCCCATGGTGGCAGTGAGGTTATGGTATGGGCAGGCATTTGTTATAGACAATAAAGAAAGGTGCATTTTATTGTAGGCGCATCACGAGTAGCATAATGTATGAGACGCTGGCGTGACAACATTGCCCAACATCAAATAGCAAATGTAATGTAAGCGGAAACGAAACTGAGCTACTCGGAGTCATTGTTGTGTGGTTGATGGACCGTTTATCAGTTTGGACCAATGCAGCGCGAGCCGATCTTCATCATCAGCACTGTTACTACACAGCCAAATCCAGTAAAGAAAGCATTTGAATTTGCCACTGAAGTAATTACATCGCTGAGAGATCTAGTGAGAAACATTCACATTTCTCTGTTATTAACGGATCAAACAGCGCGAGGAGAAACATTGTGCCATGAATGAACTAGCCAGTGTCCACAGATCAGCAACATTCACCATGGGTTTACTGTAGTAACACTACTAACTGTAATCATGGAAGTTTGGCAGGAATAGTAGGCTATAATGCTTTCAAGTAACATCACGTCGGTTTTATTTTGACATTATGAATACAATTGCTGCCCTCAAATGTTAATCTGAACTAAAATAAACCCATTTCTAACTACTACAATATTACACTTAATTTTGTCCAAGGAGCGGTTTTGTTTTATATTTCTCCAAAGAAAAGTCAAGTATAGCAAAAAAAAAAAAAAATACTTTGTTAGTTTTAATAAAAATATAAGTACAAAAAAATTAAAATCAAGGAAATTTCTCTGGCATTTATTTCTTTTTGCTGTATCGAAAACTGAATTTTGTAAACCGTCACCCCCCTAATATATATATATATATATATATTATATATATATATATATAAACTTACTGGCCAAGGGACGTTTTGCTCCTTTACACTCTTTTCCTCAATTCTTTTCCCATTTGTTTGAGTTGATGAGCAACCGCTTGATGGCCTCATATACTGATGGGAGGAAGGAAAGAAATTGCAATAAAATCAATAGTTTTTGACCTCACAACCTGAAGATACAATCAAACTAATTCCACTTAGTAAATCCAGACTAATACAGGCATGAATAATAATAAAAAAAAAAAAATTATAGTCCTCCTTACATAATACATCCATGTATGGTCAGTCTAAACCCCTTAAAGACTCACCTTTGTTCGTTTGACTTCCAGCACCGCTTCCAAGACATCAATCTCATCGAATCTTCTCAACATGGGCTCCAGTTCAATAAGACAACCTGTAAGATACAGACAAAGCAGCTATTAAGCTACAGTTAATAAACAAAACTGAATGAGTCTTGCGGAAGAACATTGAATCTGGAGTTGTTACAGCTATATTTAGTTCTCTCAGTTCATTGTGTTTTAGTGTGGTTTGCCCTGTGCCTGTGGTTTGTTAATTAGCTCTACACTTGTTGTTTTCCGTTGATTGCTCCTTTGTGTATTTGAGCCATTAGTTCAGTCTGTTCCATGTTCGGTATGGTTTATGAGAATGTGATATCGCTATATCAATCTCCTATTTTTTTTCTCTTTGTTTAATAAAGAAGTATTTTTGATTCATTTTTGTTTGTTTGCGTCTAATGCTACAGTGACGCATTGCTGCCACATACATATTATTTTTTCCCCTCAATTATGTCGTAATAACGAGATCGTATGCCGTTAAAACGACAATATAATGCTAATGCGCACAGAATTTGGTACAAATAAAACAGATTTTGAGGAAACGCATTTCATAGGGTCCTAAAAATGTCATTTTTGTTCAACTTTTAATAAATTGTTCAATTGTATATAAGTTTTATGATTTCATTTAATTAGACATGCTTTTTGTTTACTAAAAGAGTAAAAAAAAAAATTAATTTGGGAAAAAGTAGTGATCTACACGTTTAAAAGTTTGTAAAACCACTTTCACCCAAAACATATTGAACTCTAACGAACTCAGGTCAGCGTCAAAAGCTCTTACTCAACATTGCCTAGAGTTTACCAGGACGTAAAATGTCTACTCTTATTGGGGAATGTTTAGAAATAAAGCATCAATGCCTAAATCTAGATATTAGACCTTCGCATTAGTTGATTTAATAACCATTTTATTAACCCATATCTGGTTAAATAATTCTATTTGGAAAAAATGACATGAAGATGACCCCACAGCTCTCTCTCTGTCTGTCACAGTCAATTCCTCAGTCCCCTGATTTGTAGCAGTGTATGCAAAAGAGAATTTGTCAGAAGAAAACTGAACTCTAATGACTCAACATTTTACCTGACTAACTCACAAATTTGATCATGAGCTGACAAAATTGCCAGTAAAGAGTAAAGACCAATGACACAATTGTGGTTAGATGTTTAACTATGTTACAAACCACAAGAACAGGTCACCCAACTGGTTCGTGACAGGATGAGTCAAACAGGGATTGTGAAAAGCAGAGGAAAGGTCAAAGGTTGATAGGCTGACACTCACTGAGAAAGGAGGGGCGTTCGTCTGGGTTGGCGGTCCAGCCGCAGGTCATGAGGTTAATGAGGGTCTCTCGACTGGGAATGTCCGCAGGCAGACTGTCCAGGCCTGTGTCGGGCCGGGATCCTCGGAGGACGCTGAACATGATTTGCATGGGATTGGTGGCGTCTGCACACAGAGTGAACAAAAAGACAATGTCAGAATGTTGAATATTGTCTGGATAGATGACTGCTGCAGTTTATGAAATGGAGAAGGAAGTGATCATGAGGGGAACTCTCGATTTTGCATCAAAAACATGACAGCATAACCTGCTTAGTACGGAGTACAGCTGCACAATGAATCTGAATTTGAAACTATTAAACACTGTCCGTGCCTGAGTCAGTCGCTGTTTGGATTTGAATAGGCAAGTGCTTAAGAGTCTATATGATTGAATCTTGACATTGTGATCCTGCAATAGGGCAATATTCCTACATGGTTGTTTAAGAAATTAAAAGCTACACACTCCAATTAGGGTTAGAAGAATTGTTGCCAGACACGTAACATTCACACATCACGAGTTCTCTAAGAATGGAGTAGTACTGAAAAGTTCACGGGTGTGAGTTTGGTTATAGAATGAGGTTGTCACTCCCATAAACAACTGAATAATGGGTGAACCTAACCATATTAAAGACTCAAATACAGAACTGACTGCTGTGTGAACATGGCCTTACAACAGATCACAGAAATGTCTATTTTATGCATGAATTCAATGGCAAATCAGGAGTTTAAATTAGTCTATAATAAGGCCATTAGCAATGACAGTTATTAGTCTGACAGGTTAAGCAGTCTGATTGACATATTCATTAGTAGAGGCAGTCCAGAGAGTCGTTTAAAGGAGAACTGCGGCACAAAATGAACCTTTGGTCTAATAAAACATCGATATCTAGTCAACCGTTCAATGAGATTTGCTTTCATGATAATCGAATGTAAAGAGTTTCATAAAAACTCTTTAGCGTATAATGCTAGTACTGGGGGCATGGGGGCATTTACTGAATAAAAAGAAATCGCTAGTTTATACCACTAACAAGGCTCAAAATAGCCCCACACAGTAACATAATGAGGCTCCATACATGCAAAACAAAACATTGAGAACTTTGTAAGTGTACAGACCGTTTAATAAGAAGATATTTTATAAAGACAGTTCACTTCGTGTTTTCAGGCGGCGCCATCTTTAGAAAACAGTCTCAACTAGTCAAACCACGAACGACGTGCTGAGTGATCTGAACTGTATGAAGTTCAGCGAACTTCTGAACGGCTTTCGGGGTTCGACTTAGACACTATTTTCTAAGATGGCTCCTTTCTGTATAAACGAAGTGAACTGTCTTTATAAAGTATCTTCTTATTAAACGGTCTGTACACTTACAAATGCTTCGTTTTGCATGTATGGACCCTCATTATGTTACTGTGCTAGTGTGGGGCTATTTTGAGCCTTGTTAGTGGTATAAACTAGCGATTTCTTAATCCAGAGTTCTCCTTTAAGTGTGGCATAATACAGCCTTTTCAAATGATCGAATAAAACCATATGTAGACACATGGTGCTATTTATTATGTCCTTTTATTACATTTAATTAGGGTGGTTATTGCAGTCTCGAGTGCTGCAGTTCTAATTCGTTTGTTGTTCCACTCTAATTGAGATTAGCGTTCATGGTATATTACTGTATAAATATATATATATATCAGTATTCACATTCAGAGCTGTTTCCCCATGTTGCCTTGCCGCATCATGATTTTATTCACGCTGCTAGGCAGTCTGGACACCATGAACCAAATTTTCCCCTGAAATAGGGAACCAATCACAGAACAGGGAGGGAAGCACAGGCGTATTTGACAGATCTACAGGCGCATTTGATAGACATTCGTAGCACCCAATAATACGGCTCTGGGCATTCGTAAATATAATTTGTGGAATATAATTTTTTTTTTTTTTTTTTGGTTAACACACACATCACTAAAATAGCGTGCTTTACCAGCTACAGAGAAACTGGCAACCAGACAACAGAAAAGTGATCGATCTTCACGCATTCTACCAGCACGGTTAGACTGCCGTACCAAGAATTACGGGGCGAGAACGGGTAGGAACCGTGCCGTACCAGTGGAAACATAACTGGAACTCTTCTTAGATCCTTTTGGACATACATTGGAAAAGTGGCTTATGTTTTGTTGTCTTTAACACACAAAGAAAATAAACTACTCTTAAAATCAGATTCAGCTCAAAATAACGTCACGTCAAACTCAAATATTATTTGCATTAATGAACAAATCAAAAATTAGCCAACAGCTCCAGGCTGATGTTTTAATAAATTATTAATATTAAATGTGACTGTTGATGAAACACATGAACTTTTTCATGTGACTGTTGATAAAAATATCATAGGATCAAGTTTCCAGTGTGCTTTACCAAGAAACAGACGGGTGTTTCTTAATAAAGCACTCCTTGTTATGATGAACTTCTTGACTCCTTGTTAACCCAAGAACCGCTAAAACCAATTCAATTGGTTTCAGAATTGTGAATGGTTTTGAAAATGTTTAAAACTAGATTAATTTAAAGATCTGATCCAAAAGAATGATCCCTTTATTATTTTTGGCGATGTTTAAAAAAAAAAAATGAGTCTAACAAAACCTGTCATGGACTTCACTGGTCCACTTCTCTCTCACTCAGCGTACCCCTACCTTCAAATGGTATCCGCCTCGAAAGCACTTCCCACATGATGATGGCGTAACTGAAAGAGGAAGCACAGAACAGATGAGTGAATGGTTTCACTGTTGCCATGTACTCTCTAAACCACATCTGGCAATCCCCTTTGGAGATAAAACCTGTCCAATCAGCCCAGGGATTTCAACATATGCCCTATGACTAATCACAAAACCTGAGGTCTGTTGGCAGGATGACATTTAGCTCCTAAATCACTTCCTTTTTTTGACCAGCACAGTAGATAAATAAAATAAAGGCCTCTTTGACAAGTAGTTTTGGTGAACTATGATGAGTGAATCCAGAAACTGGTTTATGATTAATTTCCAAGTTTCCCCTTATCTTTATTTGTTTTGGAAAACTGGTGAAATTCTATAATAATCCACCTAAAATGTCCAATATCCTACACTGACTGCTACATTCCTCTCTCCCACTCAATATCTGATGCATTTCTGATGGCCAATAGATTTTCTTCTTTTTTTTTTTCATTCATTTGTGGCTTGGATTATTTTATTTATTTTTTTAGCCAATAAAATATTTAGAGATTACCAGGGGCGATTCTAGGGTCAGAGCTTTAGGGGTGCTGAGCACCCAGTGACCCCACTGCCACCACCCACATTTTACACCTATATACGCTCCCTCTCTCTTTTCATTTTATTTATTTGCTTATTTGTAAGGGGGACAGTGTACACATTAATCAATATTAGAACAATTAAAATGTACCCGAGTTAGCTAAAAGAGCTAATTTTCATTGGTAGTTACTAGTTTATTAAAGATATTAACAAATTTGTAAAACTATGTTGGGTGGACTCTGTTCCTCTAGGGGGGTTCGGGGGCATGCTCCCCCGCTAGAAAATTTTGTAAATTTTAAGGTTAAATGCATCAATCTCGTGCCCTTTGAGAGATCAAAATTAAGAGCTTCAACCCATGAACTGCTCATTGAACAAAGAAAAAGCATTGATTTGTACCAGGACAATAAACAGGGCACAAGCATCTTTTTAATTATGAGTCTCAGTCTGCATTACATTATCAATGGTTTTTTAGGATGCCAAACAATTATTATAATAATGTAAAAATGATTTATATAATTATTCATATATGATGTAAAATCCATATAGCCTATAAATGTACTATATGTGAAAATGAACATTTCAAAAGTATATTTTAGTCAACATTATACTATATGAAAATTAAAATACTTTTGTCATATTTCTAACCTTGCAAGAAATAAACCCTTAAGTTTGTATATAGGAGAAAATACCAGATATAACCATGCTTATCGCGTGAGCAAAGTGCACACTTTTCTTTAAATCACCCAGCAAAATTGGATGCCTATTCTTAAAGTCTTGTGCTGTTTTATATAGGCACAAAGCCATATCATGGATTCGATTTTAGTTTGTTGGCAAAATATAACACTAGAGCCCTTTATGTTAGGTTATACATTTTACATCTATATGTGTTGGGAAAAGGGAGAAGAGAGAGTTCTGCAAAAGGCGGAATCGAACTCAGGTCGGGTGCTTTCAAGCACATCACTCACGCACTACGACCTACGCCACTGTACTTACTCTGTGACGTGCATCTATTTACTAGAAAGACAGGCACTTACTGCAAATATACGCTCCGTTATCGAAAATGCAAAAAAAAACAAAAACATTTTTTTCTTCCCCCTCGCTTGGGCGCATGGCGAACTTGCAATGTATAGATTTTTTCCGACCGGCCCGCTAGACTAAAACAGTCCGAAAATAAACACTTATAGTTGTACCATGGTGATTCAGGATGCTGACTCCAGTACTCACCGACATGGTTTCGGAATCGGAACAACTGAAAGGAAAAAAAGTGTGAGACACAGCTCTGGAGCGTCTCAGTTGATTCACAAAACTACCTAAGGCCCGGATTCTTCTCATAACTCTGCGTGTGTTTCGCGCTGGATGACGGCCGTGCTGAGCGGTGCAGGTACAAATAAGTAACATAGAAGAAGAGAAATATTTTCATTTCATTTTAAACCACAAACTACTGAGTATGTTTTGGACATTATTTAACCGTGTCAAAGACGAACAAAATTTTTAGAATAACAACATTTCTTGCTCCAAGTTTTAGGGGTGCTGAGCTCCTTTTTAGGGGTGCTGAAGCACCCCTAAAAAGGGGCTAGCCTCGCCCATGGAGATTACTAGAAAAAGCGTCATGAAGGTTCAAGGTCCAAAAGACACTTTCAGATATAAACGAAAAAGATATAAAAGATATAAACCTTTCCTTAGAATTGGACCTTATACCTCACATTTGCTAGTTTATATCTCACAATTCTGACCAAAGACAGTCTCAAAAAAACAAAAAAAAAACACTGGTGTTTCTGACGCCAATCAGGTCAACGTGTGATCATCAACGAGTAGCTCTCTGAGCTGGTGTGAGTGAATGGAGGTGGGGATAATTTGCATATTCATTGAACCGCATATACTAAATGAGTTGCATTCAACATACATACATAAATTTTTTATAAGAAAAAAAAAACATTTAAATTTGTTATTTGGTGATCAAAGATGAGTTTTACGGGATACAATTATTGACTACAGGGGACTCTGCCTAATGACAAATTATTGACTACAGGGGGATTTATGTAATAATTTGTTAGACAGAACTGTTAAACAGAGGCCGTAAACGAATGAAGACGCTGTGCGCTCAACGCCGGTGTTCTCAGTCGTCAAAACAAAAACCAAACAAACAAACAGATAAAGATATAAGCCAAAATTGATATTTAAAATACTGGCCGATACACTTAGGGTGGTGATGGCGCTGTGGATAAGACACATGTCTTGGGTGTGAGAGACCAGGGTTCGGATCCCTGAGCAAGACACTTAACCCCTAGTTGCTCCAGAGGCGTGCAACTCCTGACAATTGCAAGTCGCTTTGGATAAAAGCGTCAGCTAAATGAATAAAATGTAATTCTGCACGTGTAGCATGGCAGAAATATAGTGGTGTGGAAACACCTCATCCGTGTGCAGTGTGAGTGCTCTAACCTGCTAACATGGGCAATCAAAAAAATATGGCCTGCATACGTACTGCAAATGGATCATATTTGAAATAGGTGTAATACAACGCAGTGATTGGACAAAAGCTCATATCATATATACGCATATACTCATGATGTTGGTACAACTTTTCTGTTAAAGCAGAAAAAAAGAACACCTCCCCCTTAATAATAAACAATGAGTGCATTGTTTTCAGTACATATCCGTTAGGTGATAACAAAAATAAGTGTCTCAAAAAATGTTTTTTAGGGTTTCAAGACACTTTCAGATGTCTTATTGACTTTTCCAGGCCTGAAAATCTTTTTTTTTTTAAATCATTCAATTTTTTTTAATGGGCTCTATGCACGGCGTTATTTCCGGTGAAGGATTAAGGATGCTCGATAACTTCCGCCGATCATAGAGTCCAATGCAATACCGAGAGTTTCTATTGAATTTTATACTCCATGGTTATACTAATGAAACGTTAGTCACAAAAAAAGATAAAACAGACACCCCTCGTTGTGTTTATGATTCTTTTTAAAATTATATTAAATAAACATAACTATATATAAATTTACATCTAAACGTATGTACGTTTCGTTTCAAAGACGGGAGGACAGTAAATATTGAAGACTCTGCCATAATCCCGTTTTCTCCGGTTTTCCTCCGCTTTAATCTACACAACCGGAAATGGACGAGCATCCTTACGTCAAATGCGGAACTTATGCGTGCATATAGCCCATTCCCTGACATTTCCAGGCTCACCACAGAGACTGAGAGTGAGACTAATCTGACAGGAATTTTGCTGAGTCAGCAACAGACTGGTGCCATGGTGCACTAAGAAAAGCTGAACGTCTCAAAGGGCTGCCCCAAAAATAAGAGAACTGAGAAAGCAGTAGTTTAAAAATCCTGTAGTAGAAATCATTTGAAACTCAGGGAGGAAGTTCACTCAATCCAGGCAAAACTGGAAGCTTTAAAGAATCTACAGAAACTGACCTGTACATGTCATATTTGACATCGGTTCTGCGGTTCTTGGAAGGTTCGTACTCCTCAGGTGGCATATAGATGACCGTGCCTCCCATTTCGGCAGGTTTGGAGCCGGACCCTTTAGTGATTGAGAGCTGACGCCATTTAGACAAGCCAAAATCTGCTATCTATCCATAAACACATACATACAAGACACACCTCAGATTAGAAAGTTCACTGTGATGTTACAACAAAATATATTCTAAATTTATACTGACTAATGTTTGACTCAAATGAACCGATATGGGTTTTTCAATATCGAAAGACCAGGGTAGGAGTTGTGTCAGTCAAGCTCCAAAATTACAACAACAAAAAGCACCATTGCACTGCATTCATCTTGGTTTCAAACATACTGGCATTTCTTTTCCATTTACAACGAAAAGAAACTAGGACTTTTAGCAGCTAGCTTTGAATAATGACTAATATTTTTTGAATGAAAAGCTATTATATGAAGTCTTAGAAGTCTTAAAATACTACACCAAACATAAGAGCACTCTCATGATACTTTTATGGTGTTTTGGTGTAATTTTTGCCGTGTCAGCGTCAGTAAAAGAGTGACCAGCACATTATTCAAAAATATTTCCTGCCATGTTCCATTGAAGAAAGTCACACAAGTTTGCAATTATATGAAAGTAAATTATGACAAAATGGTTGTACAACACTTTAAATTAGTAAGTTACAGATTTAGATTTAAAAAAGTTACAGATTCACCAAAGCACAATTATGGAATTAAGGCATTTTTTTAAAATCTACAAAAAAAAAACATGTTAATAGGTTATAGCTGATTTACAAGGTACAATAAGTATTCACGTATCACGTTCAAAAGGGTAAATAGTACGTTTTGGACAAAAGCTGGACAAAAATGTACACATGGATCTGAATGCACACACAGAAAAAAAAAAAAATCAAATTGTCTAAACACACAAACCTTAGCATGGTACTCCCCATCCATCAGGATGTTCTGAGTTTTGAGATCATGGTGTAGAAGGGGTGGTGTCATATTGTGGAGGAAGTTGACTCCTAGAGCGATCTCATAAAGAAAACGTAACCTCAATGGCCAGGCCACCATTGGGTACATATCTTTCTGTAACGCAAAAAGAAAACAGAAAGGAACATTGAGCGCCAAAAAGGGGAAAGTGAAACTGTGCATTACTCAAACGCATTACGCTAATACGACAAGACTAAACAGAAAGCGTGTCATGTAAAGGAATGCTGTTTGTACAGTTGTACCTCATGTAGGATCTCATCCAGTGAACCGTTGCTCATGTACTCAGTCACAATGCAGAAGAACTCAGGCTCGTTACACACCCCAAAGATCTGGATGATGTAGTTAAATCGAGCTTTGTGAAGCACCTCAGCTTCCTTCAATAAACAATTCCTTTCCCTGGGAAAAAACAAAAACCTTAATGATTATACAAGGGCTGGAAGGGTTTCTCAACCACCATATAATATTATGCGTTTCGAAAGAGTGTCAAGGTTTCCACAACTTTTAACCATTATTCATGATTTGTTCTTTGTATAACGTTCATTGTTCCGAGGATTATTCAATGAAAACCTTGACAACCTTGTCTTTTTTTGGTACAGGTCCAACTTATATTTTAGCTTAAATCCAGGCGATACTGATAAGCTTATAATTATTTTCATATTATGGATGAATGATATTAAAATTCTGTTCCGAGTTGGTCTAAACAAATGAAAAATAAAACATTAAAAACTAAAATCAATCATTAAAAAAACTACAAGTAAGTTGAGGCATTCCAACATTATAATATGCAAAAACAAAAATTATATTACGCCTGGAATCTGCTAAAGATTACAATGTTGTGTTCGGGTCATTTTGACAGGGAGAGGATTTTCTTTTTCACAAAAATGTTAAATGTTATCGAATTGGACTGAAAACTACTCCCCAAATACAGTGGGGAGAAGAAGTATTTGATATACTGACGATTTTGCAGGTTTTCCCACTTACAAAGCAAAAGTCTATAATTTTTATCATAAGTACTCTTCAACGGTGAGTGACGGAACCTAAAACAGAAAATCACATTGTATGATTTTTTTCAAGTAATTCATTTGCATTTTATTGATGACATAAATATTTGATCAGCTACCAACCAGTAAGAATTCCAGCTCTCACAGACCTGTTAGTTTATCTTTAAGGCTTTCTTCACACGGAAACGATCTGAAGAGAAAGCGCAAAGGTGGCGTTGCGTTATCACTTTTTATTCTGTGTTTACGCGAGCGTTATGAGTTGGAAATCTGAGTGCATATGGTGATGCAAAAGTGTGTGAAATTCGATGTAGTATACACTCCAGGCAGCTAGGTGGCGATGTGAGGCACTGCCACACAACACCACCAAGTCCACGTGCCTGCGTAAAACCTTCACTGTCTAGCAGACGTTTGCGTTTTTACTCTTTAGACGGGAATGCGACAGTGGAGCATTTTCAAGACTTCCTCTCTGGAGGGTGGTTTCACTTTTTTCCGTTTTTAATGCTGCGTTCATGTGCTATGGTAATTATGGTAAATACCAAAAGCCGACGTGGAAAATGCACATGAACACCCCCTCATGTGGTATTTACCACTGGGCAACTCGTAGAATATTTTGATGGACGAGTTCCCGAGATGAAATAACCTTTGACCATTTCAAAATGGCGGTGAGCACCGCGAGAGTCGTGAATGTAAAAAAAAAAAAAAATTATATACTATTCATGATCTAGGAAATATACTGCATATTATTTACCTTTTGAGTTTTGATAAATCATGTTCTTGCTGTTGCAGATGACTTAAGCAAGCTAAAATAGTTTTAGCTAAATAATAGGTCTGGATCTCCATCTTTTTACCACATTATGACAACAACTTGAACGCAACACACTGGTAAATACCAGTTCACAAGTAGAAAATATGAAGAGTTCAGATGCAAAAGCCTCTAAATGCCATTTGAAATTTTCTTCTAAAATGACCATTTTTATCAAGCGTGTATATTTAAGTTCAGTAATTTCACTTAAATGGCAATGAAGATTACCTATTAATTGTCATTTAAGTGAAATCACTGAACTTAAATATACAAGCTTGATAAAAATGATCATTTTAGAAGAAAATTTCAAATGGCATTTAGAGGCTTTTGCATCTGAACTCTTCATATCCTATTTTCCATAGCACGTGAAGGCAGCATAAGCCCCAAAAACGCCATCGCCGTGTAAACGAAAGGCACATCCGATACAATATTTTTACGTTTTCACCCGCGAGCGTTCTAGAGAACTTCTAGAAAATGGAAGAAGTTCAAGATGACGGTCAATCTCCCTCGGTCTGGGGCTCCATGCAAGATCTCACCTCGTGTGGCATCAATGATTATGAGGACGTTGAAGGACCAGAACTACACAGCAGGACCTGGTCAATGACCTGAAGAGAGCTGGGACCACAGTCTCAAAGAAAACCATTAGTAACACACTACGCCGCTAAAGATTAAAATCCTGCAGCCCACGCAAGGTCCACCTTCTCAAGCCAGTGCATGTCCAGGCCCGTCTGAAGTTTGCCAAAGGGAGAAGGTCATGTGGTCTGATGAGAAGAAAAAAAAGCTTTTTGGTCTAAACTCCACTCGCTGTGTTTGGAGAAAGAAGGATGAGTACAACCCCAAGAACACCCTCCCAACTGTGAAGCATGGAGGTGGAAACATCATTCCCTGGGGATGCTTTTCTGCAAAGGGCACAGGACAACTGCACCGTATTGAGCGGATGGATGAGGCCATGTATCACGAGATCTTGGCCAACAACCTCCTTCCCTCAAGTAAGAGCATTGAACATGGGTCGTGGCTGGGTCTTCCAGCATGACAACGACCCAAAACCGCCCTGGAGTGGCTGTGTGTTTAGTGAGAAACTAAGGAGTGGCTTCGTAAGAAGCATCTCAAGGTCCTGGAGTGGCCTAGCCTGTAGAAAATACCCAATAGAAAATATTTGGAGGGAGCTGAAAGCCGGTATTGACTATCTGGAGAAGATCTGGTGTGTGCAAACCTGGTCAAGAACTACAGGAAACGTATGAACTCTGTAATTGCAAAAGAAAGGTTCCTGTACCAAATATTAAGGTCTGCTTTTCTGATGCATCAAATACAAATGTCATGCAACTAAATGCAAATGAATTACTTAAATATCATACAATGCGATTTTCTGGATTTTTGTTTTAGATTCCGTCACTCACCGTTGAATAGTACCTTTGAATAAAATTTTAAATTACAAACTTCTACATGCTTTGTGAGTGGGAAAACCTGCAAAATCAGCAGTGTCTCAAATACTTGTTCTCACCACCGTGTGTGTGTGTGTGTGCGTGCGTGTGTGTGCGTGTATTTATGTATATATAAAATACTTTTTGGGGGATTTTACACCTTGTTTCACTTGGTGAATGGCATACAAAAACAGCTTATAAATCTCTTGTTATGTGATATTAAAGTCCCTGTAAACCGGAAGTTGCAAACGAATTTTCTCCAGTGTTGTGATGTTTTTCCGAGAGAAACGGAATACTAAATGAGGCAAAATAGTGGGCATGGATTTTTTTCCAACTAGCACCCGATTGGATCTAGAAAAGTTGGTGTAACACTAATTGGAATTTATATAAACTATTTTTATTGGCTATTACTGCTACAACCTTAACCGTTATGATAGTAATCTGCGTGTAACCAACTAACCAACAGCCATCACCACAACCATCCTCGCCATCTCTCCTTTCACACACTGTCAATGCTCGCAAACACATACAGGCAGCCTATCTTCTGTCAGTTGGAGGGGCGTGGTTACGGATGTTGTGAAGCAGACACCCAAACCGTCTAACCTACATCATCAGGGAAGGTCCTCCAATGCAGAGGGGAGATTTTAATTAAAGATTACGAAGCTAAAAAAAAAATTTGTGTGGATTGACTTGCATGGATGAATTGTTCACCACAAAATGATCAATTTAGGCAGACAAAGTAAGTATGGTCAATTTTGAATTCATGGGGACTTTAAGCACCAAATATTGGATTCAACCTTTTTGTCAACTTGTCTTCTTTTAATTAGTACAAATTTGTAGAAATTTATTTTCAATTGCATTTTTTTTTAAATCTCAGCAACATTTGGTGAAAATATAGCATATCGAGTGATTAACAAGCCATTTTTAAAAGGCTGGTTTTTAAAACATTTTTTTAAAGCATTTTTGACAAATGCAGCACAATGTTATAGTGTTAAGTTTTTAAAGATGAACTTAAAAAGTTAGTTCTTTCACCAATTACTCACCATGATATACAGTAGATCCAAATCCATAAGACTTTTGTTCATCTTCAATCTTCCGTAAAAGAAATCCATATGAATCAAGCTGTTAAATCCAAGTGTTCTGAAGAGACATGATCGCTTATATGATGAACATGAAGATATTATTGTGTTAGATGATCAATATTTATAGAAGCCTAAATTAAATCTGTTAATCATATAAAGCGATCGAGTCCCTTCAAAATATAGGATTTAATATAGAAAAATCCATATAGATTACTTTTACGATCTCTTTATTAACATTTTGAAGAGTCAAAGTTGTGGTGGAATTGACTTTGATTTGTGTCTTCAAAAACACCTTCATTAGTGTTTTGAAGTTTAACTAAATGTCGTATGGGTTTGGAATGACATGAGGGTGAGTAAATTATCACTTTTGTGTGAAATAGTAGAACTAATCTAAACATGCATGCTCATTTCCCTTATTTTTACATTTAATTATCAATATTAATACCAATATTGGCTGACACTGATTAAAAAAAAAAACATTAAACAAAAAAACTGTGAAATTTTATTACTTTAACATAACAGTTATGTATTTTAATATAATTAAATGCTGAATTTTCATTAGCCATTATCCAGTCTTCAGTGTCACAGTTCACTGATTTATTATCAATGTTGGAAACTGTTGTGCTGCTTAATATTTGTTTTGATGTGAAACTTTTTTCAGGATTCATTGAAGAATAAAAAGTTCAAAAGAACAGCATTTATTCAAAATAGAAATCTTTTCTAACAATATAAATCTTTATGATTACTTAAAAAAAAAATATATATATATATATACAGTATATATATATATATATATATATATATATATATATATATATATATATATATATATATATATATATAAAATGAACACATCCTTGCTGAACAAAATAATTAAAAAACAGAAAAAAAGTACTGACCCCAAACATTTGAATGGAAGAGTATATTATTACAAAATATTTCTATTTTGAATAAACTCTGTTCTGTTTATTCATCAAAGAATCTAGAAACAAATTTCATAGGTTATAAAATATATATATAAAGCAGCACACCTGTCACCAACATTGATAATACATCAGCATATTAGAAATGATTTCTGAAGGATCAGGCACTGAAGACTAGAGTAATGATGATACTGAAAGTACATCTTCAGAAATAAATTATATTTTAAAGTAAAGACCATTATTTTCAATTGCAATAATATTTCACATTACTGTATTGTTGATCAAATAAATGAAGGCTTGATGAGCATAAGTGACTTCTTTTAAAAACACTAAAAGTAGTTATAACTTTTGACTAGTAATAAACTAATTTATACACACACACGCACACACAGGGAGAGTTAGGCTACTTTAAGTAACGCTTGTATTAATGTTACTCCCCAATCCTGTAAAACACAGTCCTGTAGAACAATGCTGTCTGACAGCATACTCAAGTTACCCCATGTACGTAAATTTTGTTTTATAGTTTAGATCAGTGACCAGATTTGCACAGCATTTCTTTCCTAAACACCTGCAACAACCAGCATTTCTGTTCCTTTAGCAGACCGAAGCTATCATGGCACACATACCAAGCCCCAGCAATCTGATCAGTGCAAAATCAGATTTCGACTTTGTTTCAGGGACAGTGCATTTGAGGTAAATCAGATCACAACACAAGTGTACTCACCTCTCGCCAACTGGAGAATCCAGTTTCAAGCACTTGATGGCCACGGTGGTGCGCCAGTCGCTGTGCAGCGCCCTGAACACCGTCCCAAAGCCCCCTTTACTGATGAAGTGCAGGTCCGTTAGTTTCCGATACGGGATCACCGGTAATGTGCTGGTGAGACTGCAGATGTTGACGCAGCCGGCGTGCTCCATGTTTCAGGATATTGTGAGATGAAACGGGCCCGTTCAGCTTCAACAGAAAGGGGAACCGAGAGCGCGCTGCTACTGCTGAAACCCCTCACAGAGAGAGACAAGAGCGCGCATGTTCTGATAGTCGGCGTACTAGACCACCCAGAGATCGGTGCATCTGCTTGACAAAATTATTATTAGATCCTTGTTAAAATTGTCACTGGATAAGAACATAAGATGGGAAGAAATGAGTCCTAGAGCTCGCGCTTGGAAACACGCCCCCAGTCCGAACAACGCAATTCACAGAACGCCATAAAACAAACTGGAAATTAACCACAAAAATCACTTTATATCAATGGTGTTTGATATTAAACGGTGACGAAACGAGGTAACACTGTGGGTATGCGCTCGTCAAATGTTTCGCAGGTGTGTGAATTATGAGTGGGTCGGACTAAAACCGCGACGGTGTTTTTTTTTTTTTTCTGTAACCACCCGTCTAGTCCCGCCCTTGACCTGAATGACAGATCAACTGTCCAATCGCAGACGTCGTATATAACGTTTACAGCCAATCCTGTTGTAGAGGGCGGGAATTCTCGAAATACAGTGGGGAACAAATCAACGCCGATCACACGACTCTGAGACTTCAGCTTCCGGGTGTCAGAGGGTTCGGTTCACATTTAATCGGATTGGATTACTATAAATTATTATTATTTGATTATTTAGATTCATTGATTCATTAGATTCATTCATTCATTCATTAGACCTGAAGTGTGTGCCGTTAAGCAATCCGTTTTTTGTAGATTTTAAAAGGGATAGTTCATCCAAAAATAAAAATGTGTCAACTCCACCTCACCCATGTTCCAAACCTGTATGAATTTCTTTCTTCTGCTGAACACAAAATAATATATTTTGCAGTAAATATACCTCCCTCTATGCCAACATTCTTTTAAAATGTATTATTTTGTTTTCAGCAGAAGAAAGAAAAACTCATACAGGTGGAACAACTTGAGGATGAGGAAATTATGACAAAATGTCCATGTTTGGATGAACTATTCCTTTTTATTTATTGAGTCTTATTTTTTGTACAGCAACACAACTTTTCAGACTGCTGAAACTGTTGTTATCTGGACGTTTGCTGTGACATTTCTGTCTCTTGTGATTGTGTTTTTATAATTCAGAAATCATGAAATATAATAATAATTAAATAATATTTTGGCGACCACGTTTTTAATACGTAGGCTATTTGAACCTGATCCAACGACGTCATTTTGAAGTTTGTGTTCATGTTTTGACCCATGAACGTTTAATGGGCGATTCCATTATTATGTAAGGGGGGGCATTCCCAAGAGTTTTCCGCACAAACAACACGGCCCTGAATTCAGTCTATAGAGAGAGTGACGTTGAAGAAATGACATCATGCAACACAAATTCACTCCTGATACACATCATTGGCTGGTTCTAGGTTCCAGTAATGATATGTTATAACAACATATCTTGGTAACTTGAAGCTTTTTGCTCTTGGCACTGTAATAGATTATTCCTTTTTTTTTTTTATCACCATGAAATTAAAATGTAGTATTTTGTATTTTTTTTTTAAATAGAATGTTGCAGTATTTATTATAAATGTTTTATATGCGCATTATATATATGAAGAGTTCAGATGCAAAAGCCTCTAAATGCCATTTGAAATTTTCTTCTTTAATGATAATTTTTTATCCAACTTGTATATTTAAGTTCAGTGATTTCACTTAAATGGCAATGATAATTACCTATTAATTGTTATTTAAGTGAAATTACTGAACTTAAATATACAAGTTTGATAAAAATTATCATTAAAGAAGAAAATTTCAAATGGCATTCAGAGGCTTTTGCATCTGAACTCTTCATATATATATATATATATATATATATATTATATATATATATATATATTAATCTTGTGCTCCTGTAATCTTTAATCAAAATAACTTCTCCCTCTTGCAGCTCATCTCTTCTCTGATGATGTGTTTACTGACAAGAGGGCGGGACAACCTGTCAATCACATGACATCACACCAAAAGCACAACCATCCAATCAATTCCCCATGAACAAAATCAAGTCCCGCTCCATATTCTCCGGAAAGCCGTTTTACATCATAGCAGAAGAACACATCGCAATTTCTGTTTCATGCCTTTTCTGAATATCATTTAGCAATATCATTCATTATTTCCTAAAAAAAAAAAAAAAAAACACACAGACTCACCAAGAAGCATGTTCTATGATATTTAATGCAACGTATCACACATTATTTTGTTTTCTTCTATTCAAAAGTAACTGGAAAAAATATATTATGAAATCAGCAAAAGCTAAAGTCATTTTCCTCAGTTCATGTATTTCAATATTTCAATATTTCAGGGTCAACTTCCTGTTTGATGCCTGCCCTGCACACCTACAGGATCTCGCACCAATAACAAAGACATTCTCTGCTAAAAAGGACATCCAATTTTGATTATGTGTTCTTATATCTAAGCTCAGCGAAAAAAAAAAAAAAAGTTTTTATTTTCAATCATTAAGAAAATAAACTCTGTATAGTTACTGTCCCATTCAACCTAATGTCCCAATCACCCTTACTAATGTAATTATGTAAATGATTATATATCTGTGTTGTATATATATATATATATATATATATATATATATATATGATTGCTACAGCAGCTGTAGGCTTATACATATCATAGCATACACTATACACTGACTTCCAATGGTCAAAATACTGTATATATGGTGTATATATATAGGCTACATTTTGATTTAATATGAAATACATTTATATATGGTGATTTTAAAAACCACCTCAAGTCTTAATTGCGCCACCTAGTGCCGCAGAGAATGCGTGCCTGTTTTTTATTTTCCCTCCACACCTAACGTTTCCACTTTCCATCAGCAAAATGCAAAACTAAGACACACAGCCATTTGGGAAAAACATACGTTTTAGGTGTTGTGAAATTAGTCCTGAAGGTATTGCATTGCAAGGGAGGAAAAATATGGTTGACCTATTTATTTCCACTTTAATAAAAGGCCTAACTATGTCTCTAAGTGTTCTTTTGACACTCTGTTATTGTTTTTTAACATGTCCTTAGCTACACTATGTAACTTTTGGCCCTTTAGCGGTTAAAAAATAAAACTGCATGCACTTTGTGGAAGAACATTGTTTTGGTTGTGCTTCAGCTCTCAGTGAATAATATGGCCCATAGATAATGATTTACACAGTAAAAAACAATGGGTTAAAAATAACATTTTGGAAGAAGGATTGGTGATTTAAATTTTGATAATTTTAAAACTTATTTTGATTAGTTCTTTTGACATGATAATGTTGATGTCTTTAATTATTTAAAAATTGCCTTAACTTTGAAAACTTTGCTTGGTTCCCAGCATGCTTTGCATAGGTCTGGATGAGGAGAATACATGTTGAAATTAAGTGAATAAATTAAATGAATTAATTACTTATGTGTATTAGTAAAGGGAAAAGCTTAGCATTTAATGCTGTTTGGCATTTTAAAAAAAAGTTTCTGCTATGCATGTTGTGATGTTTGTTAAGTTTTTGTGGCTACCACTTTCCTGAAGAGAAGTGCTTGTGGTTTGTGGATGGTTTATTGGAACAACTTTTTTGAGAAAAGAAAGATGTTTATGCTTCAAATGATTCCTGTAACTCAGTTACATTTGTTGGTTTAGCATATTCCATTACAAGTTGTCATGTTTTGGGGTGTATGACAGAGAACACATCTCCTCAAAAAATGTAATGTGTAAAATGGCAGTTCAATCAAACAACAGTTCATGAAAAAAAAGCATTTTTATAGGTTTAGAGTTCTGCATTCATATAAAGGTAATTTAATCTGAGTATGGTGTGTTTGGGTAGACCTGCCACACCATAAATAGGAATTACTTGAAATTTTATCAAAGAAGAAGAAGGTGCGGTTTGGTCGGTTGTGTCTCATTTGTGACAGGCATACTGATTCACTTCTCTTAATAGTGAGGAATGCAGAAGATGACAATCAGTCAACTTCTGCTAACATTAGGTTTAGGATTCTTTCTTTTCACCAGCTCCCAAACCAGACAAAACACCCACGCAGATTATCAAGCTACTTTAGCTCGTTCTTTTCTGAGAGCATTGGATTTAGCATGTTTTACCAAAACCTCAGTCCAGAGGTTGTAAGAAGAGGGAATGGGATGGAGTATTATAGTAATGGATTTTGCGGAGGGATCAATGAAGAGAAGACGCTCAAGGTCACCCTGCTTGGCTATAAGGTTATGGAGGAAAAGACAAAGTTCACAGTAAGGAGTTCACGCTCTTTTCACTCCATAGTAATCAATGCATTGTATATTAATTTGTTGTTGCTGATTATTTAATTCTTACTTTTAAGGGATATATTCTTCAACCCAAAATGAACGTTCTGTCATCGATTACCCACCATCATGTTGTTCCAGACTTTCGCTTATCTTTGAAACATGATTAAACATATTTCTTTTATGAAATAACTAAGAGATTTCTGTCCCTCCATTGAAACCCCATTGAGTAACCACAACCAGTCCAAAAAGTTCTTAAAAACACTGTAAACATAGTCCATATGAATTTAGTCGTTGCTTGGCAAACATGAGGGTGAGTAAATGATGACAGATGTTTCGTTTTTGGGTGAAATATCCCTTTAATTAGAGACACATAAGGATGAATAAGATGAATCTTAGATGTGCACTGTGTCTGTTAATGGCAAAGTTTTAAGTGATAAATAGGACATGATGTTCTCTTTCTGCACATTTTAGGTCTACAAGATCTTAGTGAGGCGAGCGCCTGACGAGAGCTGGCACATTTTTAGACGATACACAGACTTCTCTCGACTACATGACAAGGTCAGGCACAGGTGACTCATGTCAGCTGACCAGGCAATGTTGGAGATTTGCTCATTTTTTCCTCAGTGTTTCCTTCTTTTAGATATGAGTGATTTTATGTCTTTATGTTGTATCTTCAGCTGAAGGAGATGTTTCCTGTGTTTGACTTTGTCCTACCACCCAAGCGTTGGTTTAATAACTTCAGTGCTGAATTTCTGGAAGAGAGACAACTGGGCCTACAAGACTTTCTACAGCACCTAGTTGCTCGAAAAGACCTGAGAAATAGGTACATTATGCTTTGTGTTGCAACAGCCTTAGTCCCTATAATCAACGTGAAAGTCAGAGGAGTCCATTGTTGTTTTGGAGCCCATAGGCTTTCATTGTATGGACAAAAAGTCAAAAACATGAGAAACATTATTCAAAATATATTATTTTCTGATCATACAGGTTTGGAATAAAGTTCCACAGTATGTGTAAACCAGACAAACAAATTAAATTGTTTTGTTTTTTTTTTGTTGTTGTTTTTTTACATTTTGTGTAAAAAAACCCCGATTTGACTGATTTTTGCATTCGAACAATTGCATTCCCTCAAGAAATGTTGCATTTGCACTCAAACCTTTTGTGATTTGAGGTGGGAGGAAAGATTCAGTGCTTTTGTAAGTGAATGCAAAGTTTCATGGGGGAACAATAATTTTAATATATATATATATATATACTATTTAATTTTAAAATATAAATACAACTTGAATAGTTGACTCCATGCTGACTAGTTTAATTAAATCATGTTTCACCTCAAATTCGCATTTAAAATAGCTTCTGTAACTCTGAAAAGACTAACATGGATTTAGATTCCTTTAACCGCTTTTGTACTCTCTAACCTTCCATTCTTTGTTAAATCTTAGAATGAGTTGTGGCTTCATGATTAGCCTACAGTCACCTCACTGTTAACAATCTCTTTGAGTCAATCTAGTTTTAGCAAACACCACAGTTTTAGTTCAGGTCAATAATGACTGATCCTGTTCTTTTTTATCCATCCTAATTCTTAACCCTTTGATGCACAACATGGGTCTAAATAGACCCGACTCAGTTTTCATTTTCTATATCTTTGCAAGAAATTAATTTCATCATTCAGTATTCCAGGTATTCCTCAATTAACTTGTTTTTGATCATCACAAAGCCTTATTTTTATTTTTCCTTTCTTACTTTTTGAATAAAAATAGTTTTTGTATAGCAACCCCTCTAATGCGCAACATGGGTCTAAAAAGACCCGTATTCATTTCCTATGGTATTTCAGTGATGGCTGAGTGTTTTCTTTGCTGAATCTTTAAAATATATGTATTTTATCATTTGTTATTCCAGGTATTCATTAAATATCTTGTTTTTGATTTCCACAAATCATTGGGTTTATGTTTTCTTTCTTACTTTATAAACAAACACAGTTTTTGTATTTCTACATCAATTTTACATACATGGGTCTAAAATGACCCATATTCATTTGCTATGTTATTTCAGTGATGGCTGAGTGCTTCTTTGCTGAATCTTTAATTTAAAATATGTTTTTTAATCATTTCTTGCAGGTATTCATTAAATATCTTGTTTTTAATTTCCACAAATCATTTTGTTAGGGTTTTTTTTTTATTTCTACATCAATTTTACATACATGGGTCAAAAATTATTATTAATCTTATTTTATTTTAACCACAGACTTTTTTTATATATTGTAAAAGATTACAACATAATATCTCAATATTAGGCTATGGTTACCTTGACCTTGTAAACCTAGTGAGAAATTACTTGTGAGAAGGAGAAACATGTCCAATACTATTAGCTAGCTAGCTGTTGACATATTCTAGCTAGCTAATGTTAACTATACACAAAAAAAAAAAGATTGTTTTTTAAAGCTTATTTACATTTAGTAGGCCTAACAGTTCATAATCATTCATATGCTGAAATGATTCTTATACTGAAATCATTTTATGATTAAAATGATGCCCAGCTTTGCTAAAGACAGAAAAGTCAGCAGCTGGTGTTCCCAGAGCACCAGGCCTGTGTGCAAGGAGCACAAACATGTAGTTGTCATTTGTGAGGCATGTAAGCACTAAGATGGCAATTTGAGATGCCGCTGTACCAGTGTGATTTTATTTTTTCTGTTTTCTTTTCTTTTCTTTGATCACATTCACCACAATTCAATACAGTTACACTACACCACAGTTCAATTTCAGTGTTATCAGTTATCAGTTATCTGTGATATGTGAATGCTATGCGAGACAAAGTGGCAAATAAACATTTCAAGTGTTAAATGTGTTGTCTAAATTACTTCTAAGATGATTAATTTAACAAAATGTTGTCTTTATTCTTTTGTTTTATTATGCTTGATAAGTACATTTGATATAGTAACATAAAACCTAGAAAAAAATGAAAAAAAATATTTTTGGTAATTGAAAAAAATATTTTTTTAATATTTATAAATCATGAAATTTATAGATAATGGAATATTAAATGCTTAAATAAATTGATCTCAAAAGATAAAAAGAAAAGAAAAGTCCAGCCATGCATTAAATAACATAGGAAATGAATACGGGTCTTTTTAGACCCATGTATGTAAAATTGATGTAGAAATACAAAAACTGTGTTTGTTTATAAAGTAAGAAAGGAAACATAAACCCAATGATTTGTGGAAATCCAAAAAAAGATATTTAATGAAAACCTGGAATAACAAATGATAAAATACATATATTTTAAAGATTAGCAAAGAAAACACTCCAAGCCACAAGCCATCACTGAAATACCATAGGAAATGAATACGGGTCTTTTTAGACCCATGTTGCGCATTAGAAGGGGTATCCATAGCTTGCGCATCAAAGGGTTAATGATGTTAGTGTTGATTTTGATCAGTCTCTTTTACTCACCAGACTGTATCTCTCTGTATCTCTCTGATTGTGTGTCTCTCGGTGGATATAGGTCAGAGGTGGGTTCAGTTCATTTCGGTGTCCCTCAGGGATCAATTTTAGGCCCCTTACTTTTATGTATGTTTTTTTCTTGTAGTCAGCTTAATTAGCATTTTTATGCAGATGACACTCAGATTTATATTTATTCTAAATCTGGTGACACTGCGGTACAGTTACTTTTCTTTCACACATGTTTCTGAGATGAAAACTTGAATGACTCTTGGATGAAATGTTCTGTGTCTGAACAGTAACAAGACTGGAGTAATGCTCATTTAAAGTCCTCCTACGAAAAGTGATCATCTGTGGATGGTTCTGCTTTTCAAACAAAACAAACATTTGTAGTTTGTAATTTGATCCACATGTTCAGCAAAGGGTATATATATATATATATATATATATATATATATATATATATAGAGAGAGAGAGAGAGAGAGAGAGAGAGAGAGAGAGAAAAGAGAGAGAGAGAGAGAGCATGATAGAGCATTCACTATATTCCTAAACTGTGGAACTCACTTCCCCTCGCTATTAGAGAAACATAGTCTTAGTTCATGACTAGTTCACCCAAAAATGAAAATGATCCCATCAAGCCATATAAGACTTTGTTCTTTTAGCCGAACACAATCAGCGTTATATCAAATAATATCCTATGTCAGAGGATTTCGATATATGAGAAGAGGAGCTACATCCTACGAACGCAAACGCACGCATGGCTGTTGCCGTAAGTCAGTGATTATAGCTTATAAAGTTTTAAATATGGATATTTTTCTTACAAAAACCCATTGCCCTACTTCAGAAGGATTACTTTTAAGATGGATGGAAGAACTTTTTAGAGCTTCGAAAAAGGCCTTCTGAAGCGAAGTGATTCGTTCGTGGGAAAAAAATATATTCACATTTAAAACTTTTTTGACTAAGGCCCCGTTTACACGAGAACGATTCCGGGTGAAAACGTAAAAATATTCTATCGGATGTGCCTTTCGTTTACACAGCAATGGCGTTTTTGGGGCTTGAAAAAGTCCAAAAAGTGAATTTCCAGAGTGGAAATCTTAAGAATGCTCCACAGTCGCGTTCCCGTCTAAATGGCAAAAATGCAAATCTGCTCACGGTGGCTCTCGTCGCATACGTGTTTACGTCACAGGCATGCGCAAGTACAGGAAAATAACGACCAACATGTCGGATTATTTCCATACGCCGGACCTTCAAGTTGCCCTAGCAGCTCTGATTAACATACAAGAGTCTTTTTTGCAGTTGTACGAAATATTCTCACTGATCAGAGAAGGCGCATTGAAGGTTGTACGCAGGCGCGCGAACTTGGTGTTATTGTGTGGCAGTGCTTCATATTGCCACCTAGCCGCCTGGAGTGCATACTACATCGAAATTTACACACTTTTACGTCACCATATACACGCAGATTTCCCAACCATTACGCTCGTCTAGACGCAGAATTAAAAGTGAAAACGCAACGCCACTTTTGCGTTTTCTCTTCAGATCGTTTCCGTGTAAACATAGCCTTAATTAACTAGACCGCCGCATGCGTCGACTCACACCAAAAGAGTAACACTTGACGATGTATGATAGGAGTAGCTTAGCTTTGACACCTCTCGCGGTTTTCGCGGTTACTCTTTTAACTCCAGAACCGTTTCGAACACTTTTATCATGGATGGATAGGCTCTGATGGACTTCCAAAATCATATAAGCTACCCATTCACTCCCAAGGTTTGGAAGAGCCAGGATATTTTTAATCTAACTCCGATTGTATTCGTCTGAAAGAAGAATGTCATATGCAAATAGCTTTAGGCTATACTGGGCTAATTCAAATTTTGGGGTGAACTATCTCTTTAAAGGTGCTATATATATGTGTATATATCAACGCATTCTCATCCCGAGGCGTCATATACGACACTTTTGCCAAAGCGTAGTCATCCAACGCACATGGCACCCTTTAGCGTCAAATGAGACGCTTCGGTTATAGTTGGTTTAGGTATGGGGTAGGGTTAGGTTTAGACCACTAGGAGGCGCCTTCTGCCCCATATATATCTGCGTCCAGGGCCTGAAATTAATTTTTTCGGCCACCGGCCACTGTGGCAGGTGGATTTAAAAATTCACCTGCCACAGAGACTTTTTACCAGCCATTTTTTTTTTTGCCTCATAAACGTAAAAAAAAAAAAAAAAAAAAAACCCGGGAATTTCACAATATTGTTCTTTAACTTGTAAGAACACACATTTAAGTGCTGTCAAGTAATAATAACTCTAATAACATACATTTAAAAAAAAATAATCTTTTTATTCATTGATTTTGACAGACACACACACACACACACACACACACACACACACACACACACACACACACACACACACACACACACACACACACACACAACATATATAGTATATACTCAACAGATAGACCTACCGCATCTCGTAAACAAATCACCCGCGGCTGTGTTGATGGCGGATTTAGTCACGTACAGGTCTTACTCTTAACAGCTTTTAGTTACAGCGTTCAGGAACGGTTAAATATCAACTAAATACTGTTATTACTGATAAAATTATACCGGGTACCGGACATTTTCTCACCGGTTCCCAACTCCCAATATGCACAGTTGCACACGCACACACATCTGTGCAACTGTCATTGTACTGTAACCTACAACAGCGACGCGTTACATTATCTCATCCCATCTCATCAACAGTTTAATACTCGCACACGTAGTCAGAAAAAGAGCCTCATCTTCTTTCTGATCGCATGAACGTTACGAAACAACAGTCGCTGTCATAAATCAGCCGCTCACGAACCTTGCCATTGCCGCCGATTGTTCACTTTGTATTAAAATGTCTTCTTTACTTTTCTTTTTCTCATCCTCATCTTTTTGTTGGCTGTTTGTTTTGTTTCAGCTGGCCTCTTTACCCCAGTAATGTGCCGCCACATTTTAGCTAAAGTCCAACGCAATAGCGGACTTCGTTGAAATGTAAAATCCTAATGAATCACTCAATTCTCATTGGCTGCCTGCCAATGTGGCAGGTAGATTGACAGTGTTACCCGCCAATAGCAAAATTCACCCGCATTTGGCAGGTGGTCGGGTGTTAATTTCAGGCCCTGTCTGCGTCTCATTTGACGCTAAAGGGTGCCATGTGCGTTGGATGTCTACGCTTTGGCAAAAGTGTCGTATATGACACCTTGGGATGAGAACGGGCTCTATATATATCATCATTGACATTTTTTCTCCCATTTCATTTTTTTTTTTTACACACACTTTCGCTTATTGCCCCATAATCGAAATTTCAAAAATTTAAATCTACATATGGGTACATAAGATTCAAAAATAAATTAATTAATTAAATAAACAAATAAAATGCAAAAATCTTGATAAACAGAATCAACACTACAATACAACTGTTATTGAGAATCATTATCACAATGTAACACTTTGAGGAAAAAAAATGTGATAACAGAGTAACATTGCTTTCTCTCGACTGAAGTGAAGCAGTCAGACAATTCTTATGTCTGGATGACCCACCTGCTGCTTTTGGTGATATTAGAGAGAGATGGGTAAGCTCGCTCAGTTACTGCACTGTAATACTTTTCCATTCAGCCAAATATGATGCATCCAGACACCAGATATATCAAACTTATCCATTTATCCCTCTGTTCTGACTAAAGGCCTTCTGTGAGACGCTGGAAGGGACCACCAGCTGTTGCCTTCAGAGAGATTTAATGGACGACAGGAGAGAGACTGAGTCCCTGAGAAATGTTCTGCTGCACAAAGAGCTCCAAATTAGCCTGCCTGAAAGAACAAAAAAGTAATGTAGCAACATGATCTATTTGTGGGTTGCTTAGGAAACAGGGGCAGAGAGGTGGGTTTCGTCTTCTGGCTGAAACGAATGGCTCCAAAATGTTTATTCTGCTCAACGAAATTAAATCTAATTGGATTAAATGCCACACTAAATGCTCTCAGCCCCACAGCCTGTCATTAACGCTAATTGCTTTTAGCAGTACAGAAGTGTCATGCATGTGATTTCACCAAGTACGACATGTTCTTGGATCAACATCTTTGTTAATCCTGGAACAACATTCCAGTCAACCAATCAGATTTCAAGTTTACAGTTTGTGTTAAGTTTAGGCCTACAACGAGGGTTAGGTGCTTCTACATCAGTGCTATTCATCATAATTTCCCTCTGATTTTAGGGATAACTTATGGCCGAGATAGATTTAGGGGTAGGGTTAAGGTTAAGGCTATACATTTAAGAAAGGCTCAAAAAAAATCTCTCGATCCAGGAACATATTTTACTTGGCAAAATAACGTTTTTTTTTTTTTTTTTTAGTGCTGGGCAACGATTAATCACAATTAATCGGATCCAAAATAAAAGTTAGTGTTTACATAATATATGTGTGTGTACTGTCTATATTTTGTATATATAAATACACACATATGCATGTATGTTTTTAGGAATATTTGCATGTAATATACTGTATATTATACATAATTTATATTATATATAAATATCAATATTATATATAAATAAAAATATTTCTTAAATATATACATATATGTGTATTTATATATCCAAAATAACACATATATTATGTAAACACTAACTTTTTCTTTTTATGCGATTAATCATAATTTATCATTGCCGAACACTAGTTGTTGTTTTTGTTTTTTTTTTACTTTTTCTGTTTAACCCCATACAGTGGCATGTATAGAATCCAAGATGAGTTGAACAAAGAGCCGGGAGACTTTTTAACAGAGCAGGAATATAAAGAAGTGGAGAGAGACAAACTCAGGAAACCAAGGTATATAACTGATGTATTTTCCACTTACTCCCTTTGGAATGAATCCTAGTTGAGCATATTATTATTTATATAAACATTCCATGACATTACAGAGGAAAAACATGTTTTTTGGGAGAATGGGGAGACCATTTTATCTTATTAAACTGCTTGTATCTCGCTTTAGTTCTGAATTGCGGTTCATAAGGAGCCATGGAGCGTGCTGGTATGGATCAGCAACTGACAGTCCCGAAAAGTACAGTTCTGGAGGACCATTCCAAGAACTCCATTAAATAAATCAAAATAAAGGAAAACAACATCACATACGAAGCACTTTCTTCAAAAAGTCAGTTTGTTCTGAGTCCATGATACGAACAGAGTACCTGGATTTTGGATGAATCAAAACAGCTTGGCTAAACTGAAAGATGAAGTTAAAATAAGGTTTAATGATGTGTGAGAGTCCATGTGTGATTCAGTTTGTTTAATGGAGATTTTATAGTACATCAGTGTCAAACTCACACTAGACTAGCAGCCAATAACGCAAACTTCACCATATTGTGTACATTGTTCTAGAAATGTTACCCAGATTTTTTACTTCTGTTTTGGATTACTCTCATATACTGAATTTGGATAGTGTCTTTGTGATTTGGATTGCGGAGTAAATTGATACACCCAGATCCCTCTGAATTATCCAAGAGACATGATCGCTGATGGGTTTTTATTTCGCAGATGTTTTATTCATAATATCGTTTGTGGATTGTTTTTTTCTCTTAAACACATATTTAATAATTGAATCACCTGTTCTTGTACAACTGTTTCCTCACAGCTCTTAGCAGCTGGCCTCTGTTATATACAACATGTATAGAAAAGGCAGGTTGACAAGCATGATCTTTAGCTGGTTTAGCTAAGAAACCTGTTTTGAACACCATGTCGCATCCAAACCTCAACATCAAATTACCAACAATAATATATTTGATTTATTGTGATTTACTGTTTTGTGCAAATTAGGTAGTGCCAATGTGAACAATAAAATTAGTTGTAGTTGCCCACTTGGTGGAGTTGTAAACTTATTTTCTCAGCTTGATTTGTGTTCAAAAGGACTAATTTGTTCACTACATCTACATGTTTTCTGTTTATAAGATGCATTCCCTGCATTATAATTGTGTACAAACATAATGAAGACAATAACTGTGCTTTCACTTCAAAAAGTGTCTGCAGAGGAAATAGATACATGTGCTAAGCCTGGGGGTCAAGCACTGGGCATTTCAATTGGCTTTATGCACGGCTGCACTACAGTACTTCCTGAACTTAAGCCAGCTCCTTTGTTTCCTGTCTGCCATTATTGGACAAATTGATTAGTTCAGGTGTGCCTGACCTCAGTAGTCACGGCAACAATAATCAGACACACCTGAATCAAGCTTGGCCAATAATGGCAGACAGGAAACAAAGGAGCTGGCTTAAGTTCAGGAAGTAGTGCAGCTGAGTATGAAGCCAATTGGAGACAGATTTTGGAGTTAAACATTTGTGTTGCTTTGTTGTAGACACTTTAATCATCTGTTCTCATTTTAGCATTGTGTCCTTCACACAGTTGACAGCAGCTAGCATTCCATCTACTGTCTGGGTGTAACAGTTTTCCTGTCGCTGTCGTAGTAGCCTTCTCAGTGCAGCACTGTCATTATTCACCTGGGCATTAGCAACGCATTCTCATCCTTTAACGTCATATAGAACGCTATATGACAAAACGCCGCTATACTACGCACATGGCACCCGTTATCGTCAATATAACATGCGCTGTGAGGGCTAAGTTTAGGTGTGGGGTAGGGTCTGCGTGTCATATTCACACTAACGGATTTATGACGTCTTGGGTTCGCGTGTTATATTAACGATAAAGGGTGCCATGTGCGTAGTATAGCGGCGTTTTGTCATAAAGCGTTCTATATGACGTTAAAGGATGAGAACGGGCTGGTTAGTGTATGGTAGGAATTTTGAAGCCAGTATCAGACTGCTATTCAAAGCAACAATGCACTTTGCAAAAAAGAAAGGTTTACCTACCTGAAAACTTACTGGAACGGTGCAAAGGCAGTAGCAGGACTGACACAGACAGTAACTATGATGCTGCAGTTGATATTCTCCAAAGCAGATTTGGAAGGAAAGATCTCATTGTAAATGCTCACATGTCAAAGGTTCTGAATCTCACTCCTTTAAAGAAATCATCTGATGTCAGTGCATAAAGGCAGTTCTATGATGACTGTGAAATTCAAAGAAGCCTTGAGTCATTGGGAGTGGTATCAGAAACCTATGGTGGTATGTTGTGCCCAATATTACTCGAGGGGCCCGTTCTTCGTACGTTGCTTAAAACATCCGAGCTCAAATGAGACATCCAAGATAATGTATCGCTGGATTGAGTCATCTGAACTGCGCGTTCTCGCATTGGTTTATAAGGGGACATGTATCGATAGCAGAACTAGTGATCAGCAACGCTGCTATTGGCTGGTCAGCATGGCCAAAGAACACGCCCATTTTTTCTCCCAAGCAGAGCAAGCGCTTTTAATGAAAGGTTATGCCAAATTTCAGTCTTTAATTAAAACACCAGGGGCCTCATGTATAAAACTTTGTGTAGATTTCATCCTTAAAGTGTGCGTACGCACATAAGGCAGAATTTGCGTACGCACAAAAGTTTTCAGATTTATAAAACCGTTCGTACGCCAGAACCTGCGCAGAATTCACTTTATAAATCCCAGTCAGCGGGAGATTGTGCGCACGTGCGTCTCCTCCCCGAAATAACCATATGATTACAATGCCTAGTTTTACTATGCATATCCTCATCTGCATATCATTTGCATATGATTATTCATCCACGTGATACCAAGTTTAACGGTACAAGACGTTAGGAAAATATGAAATGCGGATGTGCCGTCACATTATTACAAACATTTTTTTTAGTAGCCTATATCCTTGCCTTGTTTTTGAATGAATAAATCAAATAGTGTTAAATACATTTCAGAGAAAGTTTTTCTCAATCTTTTCCACTGGCCAAATAGTATTTTTAATTGATTTATATTTTAATGGAAAGAGATAGACATGGTTGTGCATTATTTGCACGAAACAGTTTTCTCAGACAATCTCTAGTTAAAACATTAAAACACAGCATGCCAGAAGAAAAGTGTTCAAAAGCAATGCATCCACAACAAATAGGTATATTTTTATTTATTGAATATATATATATATATATATATAATATATATATATATATATATATATATATATATATATATACTGTATATATTGTAACTTCTCAGTAATGATTGCATATCTGATATCTGAGAATGGCATATTTAATCTAAATTTTTATATTAGAAGTAAAACATAGTTTAAACCATTTTCTTATTTATTTAAACTGTTATTGTGAATATGGACTGTATTTATGATTTGGACTCATAATGAAGATTTACGGTTTTACTCCATCTGCCGTTAGATTATAGGCTATATTATATGTGCGTCAGTTAGTTTCACCAAACGGCCCAACGCGTGTGCTGGCACGGTCATTTAAGAAGGGATGGATGTTTTCTTCAAGTGATGATAGGTTTGTGAAATTATATTTGAATTATCTTTCTGTAGATGTATAATTTTCTTTAGATTCTCTGTCTAATAGTAAGCAAAAAGACATTTGACTCCAGCTCAACATCGGTGTCGCCAAAACCCATAATCTTCTAAAAGAGTGCGTACGCATGGTCAAGAGCATCCTTACGGTGCGCACTTATTTACGCCAAGTTTATTTTTTATAAATCCCGATGTGCGCGTGGAAAAATGCGTACGCATATTTCTATCCCCATTTTGTGCGTACGCAACGTTTATACATGAGGCCCCAGGGAACACCTCAAAGTGCGCAAAAGCCAGGAGAGAGTGCTGGCAAAAATGATTATTATTTTATTTTTATTTTCATAATTTCACAATTGCTTTGTTCATTGTAATGTCAGAGTTCACACACACTATAATAATGGACATGGTGAAAGTGAAGTACAAAAATATTCTTCTTAATGGTGGTAATTTTACTAGGCCTTAGGCCTACTAGTCTCTTTTAAAAAGGCACTGTTAAATAAATGATTGTCTGTTTATAAAAGCAACCAGGAAAAAGGCTGAGAAAAAAATAACGATGCTCATGCACCCTGGCAGAAGAGCTGACCCTCGGGTTGAATGTGAATTGCCCTGTTGTGAAGGGCATCCCTGGGTTCAGCTCTTCCAGACCCACATCAGGGACGATTAGCAGCAACACCTTCATTACTGGGAAATGAGATTTGAATTATCTTTGTACACTGTGAAATAATTTGTTGCTGCATTAAATTAAGTAGGCCTATAATCCAAATCGGCTGGTTTAGTCATTTCAACAGTTAAATCTTGAGTAATGATAAATTGCTTTGTCTTGTGAAAGTAAAAACTCATAAACTTATGTTAATGTAAAAATATTTTGCCATGAGTTATTAATCACATTGCACTGGAGAGAAAATTGATGGCTTTAATTGATTTCTACTTGTGCCTATGCCTATTATTTCTGTCAGGAGTCCACATGTACAAAAAGGCCTACAGAAGACTCTGCACAAAGCAGTGATACAGGGGTGGGCAGTGTAGAGACAACTTTTCCTTTTTATTTGTTGCATGATATTCTTATAATATGATGACCACTTAGATGTCAAAAGCTCAAGGAAAATTTGATTTCTCAGTTCATCATCCCCTTTTAGGATTTACTGCATTAAAACTGGCCATATTTTTAATAAATAAACACGTGATCAAAGCGTAGTAAACTAAATTTTAAACATTTTAAATTCCAACATTGTTTGTGAAAGTCCAACAAAGTTAAATGTATAAATAAATACTCAAACGTGAATAGTTGTGTGGCTCTCTGTTTTCATTGGATTATCATTGTACACTTGTAATGTAAAATATATTTTATTTTTTATTTTATACACTGTGTTACAACTAACCCTGCAGTGTATTACATCTTTTAAGCCTAGCTAACAGTTGCTAGGAATTGCTGACATGTTTTAAAACGGTGCTATGTTTGAGCCAACAAGACAGTGATTAAGGTAATATAAAGTTAGATTTGGAAACGTATACAACTCAGAAACCGAAAAAAACCTACTATGAAAAAATTTACTTTCATGGTTTCAAAACACTCTTTGTCCAGTATCTTCACGAAACATTATCAAAACTTTCCACAAATCTAATGGCAGCAAGAGAAAAATAGCATAAACACAACCTGCATGACCCTGAGTAACTACGTAAAAGGTCCATGTTACATTTAGCCCTGCGTTAGGTTGTGCCCCCAGTTAGATGGATGCTAGACATGAATCTTCTTTCAGAGTTAAATTTACATACATTGAGCATAACTCATAACACATAGGCTATCTTGTGTAGCTAGCACAGATGAAATCCGGCATGTGCCCCAAGCTGTTTCAGTTAAATTCATCAGGTAAAAGAGACATTTAATGCATGTAATTCAAAGAGACTGCTTTCAATTATTTTGGTACCACACCACAACGATTCTTTGAGCTTATAGATGCTATTCGGGCAGCAAGGAGGTCCCCGGTTTGTGTCTCTGCTCAGCCAGGAGTCTTTTCTGTGTGGAGTTTACATGTTCACCCTGTGTCTACGTGGGTTTCCTCCTGTGTGTTACTGCCAAAATCCAAAAACATGCTGTATGGGTCAATTAGAGACGCTAAATTATCTGTAGGTGTGAATGCTTGTGTGTGTGTGTAAGTGTGAGTCCCAAGCCATGGAATGGGGAGGGTTGGGAAAAGCCCTGGCGACCTACCCCAAGAAAAAACATTGACATTGAACAAATTCATGGACATCATCTCGAGTGTTGCAGGAGTTTGCCCATAGATTCACCAAGAGTTGGATCAACACATTCTCATCCCAAGACATTATCTAACTGACGCTTTTGACCATAAGTCAACATCCAACGTTTTAGGGGACTTTAACGTCAGTTAGATGACGATCCTAGGGCGTCATTTAACTGACGCTTTACCTTTAGCATCAGTTAGATGACGCGGGTAGGTTTAGTTCTGGGGTAG